ATCATCAGCTCACTATACATCCTCATTGAGGGGCTGTTAGAGCCCCACCCTAAGTTAGAGGTGACTAGGCCACAGTTAACCATTATAATTCCTTATTATAGTTTTGCAAACACAATGTATCCCTATTTAAAACCACATTAATCTAGCAGCTTCTGTAACAATGGGGATAGATCATTTATGGACAACCTGGTGTCTGTTATGTACAACTAACAAAAAGTATTAAGTTTTTCAAGTGTTCCTAGAACAAAGTGGACCTACTTTTCAATGCAGCACGTGTCTATCTCCTGGGGTAAGTGCGCCGCTCAAAATATAAAAAAAGTCAAATTTAACCTATAAATTTCTACATTCTAATTTTATAACGATTTACCAGTGAGAGACACATAGATTGCTTAGATAAATTATAGCAGCATCTTCGATTAATACCCCAGTGCGTTTCCCATGACTATTTAACGGTTATCTAAAGATAAGGAGACTGAACAAAAATGCACGGCAAAGTTACTAGTTACTACGCACTTACGTGACGGTAGGCTACTTTTCAGTTGGTAATGAAATATATTTAACATGTTAAGCGTGAACCAATAATGTAACGTTCACAATAAATATAAAGTGAAATGTTCAACCACTATAATACTAAAATATTATAAAATAGACGAAAATACGATGTAGCCTTTATATAGCCTATACACATACCTAATTACCTTAGAGGCTATAACGAGCCAATAACCACCTTACTAATTTGCTGTCAACGTAAAGATCTGATAGATGTCTTTGTTAGCAATACAACTAATACTTAGTAATCAAATTATGATCAAAAATTTAGAAAACTAGAATTTAGATTGATAGCTAACCACACCACAATATCGTGTCGCCGGCTCAGGCAAAATGGCTGCTGCTAGGGACACTCCTTTTATGCGTCACAGTCACAAAAGTACAAAAATACGACTTTAACTTAAAACACTAAAAAGCCCGAGAAATATAAGCCACATAAAATATTTTAATGCACTTACTTGTTGGAAGGGAATTAAAGTAATTAAGTCAGCAAATTGCAACACGATTTCAATTTTTCTCTTGCGGTGAACGATACACTACACTGACGGCGGCGGGGCCAGAGGGGAAACAAAAAACGGAAGAGGGTTCTCACAAAATGTCCGCCATCACTAACTTCTTGGCTCGATACTAGTCTTTGGTTCAACAGAGAAAAGTTGAAAACACTATTTGCACTCTTCTGACATGTGTTATTAAAAAGAGATAGGTACAAACGATACACATAAAATCGATAGGAGCTCGCCCTGGGACAGGAAATGGAAAATTCGCGCATTTATTTAAAAATCTTTTAAATAAATTTAATTAATATTTACTAGTACTAAATTTGCGTTTGTTATATATGTAATTATATAAGGTATCAATTGCTTTTAAAGTCACAATAAAAGACTTCAAATCCAAGAATAAATCACAACCAGAAATATACAAACATTAAAATTTCTAAAGTCTTAAGTGCAGTACTGTACGGTACTGTCAAATTAAATTAAAATATTTATTATAAAACTATATACAATTACATCCTTTGACAAAACCAAACAAATTTATAAGAACTGTTCTAAAGTAACATGACCATGATGGGGTACGTACAGAAAACATCTCTTGTTAAAAAAAACCGTATAGAATAGATAGAAACCTATGTCTGTGGCGCTTAGTTTGGAAGTATTATAATATAATGAAAGTTCATGATAACTAATATTATAACACGGTTGGGGATTGATTCCGAAACCTCCACGTTTAATTTTTTTTTATCTACTCACTACTACAAAACTCTATGACATTGTGATATTGACAGCATTTGCCATTTTATCTTAGTATGTACCAAAGAGTATAATAAGTATACTATAGAAAGAGGGGCAACTCGCACGAAGTCGTGGATCCACGGCGATTGTGGCGCTCCATGCGTATAATCGGTGAACTAATTTTTTTTTTTTGGTACCTATATATGTAAGCACGCATATTTAGCTCACTATATTAATAACTAATAAGTGGGAATCTAATAAAGTTAAAATTGACATTAAATCAATGTTCAAAAATAATATACCCACTTATGTAGTTATTAATATAGTGAGCCGATATCAAGTAGCCTTCTATGAAATACCTCTATTAAAATGATCCTATTATTATTGGGGAAATAAAAACAAAATATTTTTATATTTTTGTACATTATTTATTATATTTCTACAAAACTAAATTTTAAATCTATGCAAGTACATATACATCAATGACTTTCAAGATATCAGCTCAATATTTTAATTTTTAATATATATATTTGAAAATTACATTTACGGTAATAAATAGTATAGCGCGGTCACAAAAAAATGCATACCCTGTAATTAAAACCAAACCCCAAAATATTTTCAGTCACATGCAAGCTGGCAACTGGCAATTTGTAGTTATTTGCGAGTTTAAACACTCTGAACATATTCTCTTACAACATAGGCAAGCAGATTTTTCTTTACAATAAAAAATTACAAATAAAAAAATATATTTTTTACATATACACACATGGACCCACCTACTAATTTCAGACACATCAGTTTATGGCTCTATAATTCCAGTGATTGGCACACATTTTCTGAACTTCACTGACCTTCTCTCAGGAAGGGGGAAACCGTGTATATGTGCACCTACAACAAACAAACAGAATGTGATTTCCTGTCAAGTATAGGAACTGATATGTAAAATGTATTAGAAGTAGGGCACCATTCAATATGATAACCGGAAAGTATAAATCACTGTGTTGCTAAAAACTACACCAAAATACGAAAATATTTAAATGTTTAAATGAGTCTGACGTATGGGAATAACAGGAAATTTTTTATTGAATTGTAACTTACCATAATCAGTCCATCTAAAACACAGTTGCATACAGCGTCGTTTTTCACGAAAACACATTTTAATTAAAAACAAAATTAATGAAACAACATTTAACTAAGAATACAAGAACAGAAATAGAAATACGAAAAAACGTAGCGGTTTGATGACACATGAATGTCTCGATGACAGAAATGATGCTTCTTCTCAGCCATGAGATGAAATGATGTTTACCATTATATAAAAGGTGGCGCCACTTTCCATACAAACCGTCCTTCTTCTAAGTTTCCACCCCCTGGTATGTACTCTTTGTACCATATTCTGATAAATGGAAAACACGTGAAATTTCACGTGTAAACAGTAAACACAAAGAAAACTTTTAGTTCGGGTTAATATTTTATAGGTTTTTCCATAATTATCTCAAAATTAACCATTAAATAAGAATTAAACATGCCGAAGTCGAAACGAGATAAAAAAGGTAAGTCTTAAAATTATAACCTATCTAACGTTAATCCGGAATATGAAAACTAGTGGTTCTCTTGTTTTACAATTGTATTTCTAATGTTTCAGTTTCATTAACCAAAACAAACAAGAAAGGACTAGTTCTTAAACAGAAAATAATTGAAGAAATTCGTAATTCACTATCAAAATACGAACACATTTTTCTTTTTACGGTAGACAATATGCGTAATACTAAACTTAAAGACTTGCGAAGTGAATGGAAGGATTCAAGATTTTTTTTTGGCAAAAACAAAGTTATGGCAGTGGCACTGGGTAGGACGAAAAGTGATGAAATTGAAGATCAACTTAATTTGGTTAGTATGTAGAATTGTTTGTGTTGAGTTCGAATTAAAGCACACAATAAAGTGACCTTTTATATGGCAATGGAAGTTAAAAACTTTGTTAATTTAATTTCTAATAATCTAATTGTAATTTTATTTGTTTCAGTTATCAAAGAAATTAAAGGGCCAGTGTGGTTTACTCATGACTAACAGAAATGTTGGAGATGTGCTTCAGTGGTTTAAAACCTACAGAGCGGCGGAGTATGCCAGAGCTGGTTTCATTGCAACACAAGATGTCATACTACCACAGGGGCCACTTGAAGACTTTTCACACACAATAGAACCACACTTACGTAGATTAGGACTTCCTACATCTTTGGAGAGAGGTGTCATTACACTTGTCAAGGAATATCAGGTTAGTTTTTGGAGGTTTTCTTTCACTTGTATTGGATTAATATAGTTCAATTATTCTAAAATGTGCACACCCATGTCACCCAATTAGCGTAGAAAATTAACTCCCGAACTGTTGCTTCATTATGTAGTATGATTATGTAAGTAGGAGCCATCAATATTTATTCTGTACCTTTGGCATTTTATAGTACCTTATATTTTCTTTTCAAAGGTTTGCAAAAAAGGTGTAGCATTGACACCAGAACAGGCCAGTATATTAAAACTGCTTGGCAACCAAATGGCTAAGTTTAAGCTTGAAATCAAATGCCATTGGACCAAAGGGAAAGGATTTCATAAAGATGTTGACATACTGAGTGATCAGGAGAGTGATAAGGAAAGTGACAATGAAAATGATAATGTACTTGAAGATGAAGAAATGGAAGAAGATGAAACATAACACTATCATGTAAATAATAAATATTTTTAAGTTTTATTAAATTTGAGGTTTTTTAATTGACAACGACTCGTCATACATACCATGTTTTGGAGATGGCACCTTGCTTTTAATTGAAATAAGTCCATACTCATAAGAAGAAATAAAAGTCAAACATTTACTATATTTTTTAATGAATCACAGAAACAATAAATTATTCTCTTTAAAAGATATGCTACAAAATTAATAATAAATCATTTAAAACCGATGATCCACAATGAAACTAATCGAAAACCTACATGAATAACAAAATACAAAATTACACACTAATAAAAAATATCAATTACAATAAGAACTAACACATTTGAGGCTACGCCTCCGTCGAGAATGTGGTTTTGCGTAAAACGTTGTAGTTTAACATAAAAAAATAACTTAGCATACATATTGATCACAGTACAAAAATAAAGCATCGCTTCATCAATCCACGACATCACAGCTTGTGTAAACAGCAAATCATATAACATTTGCAATCTATGGAATAAACAGTCTTTTAATGAAGTGAACATTGTAATATTGAAGGATACGAACTGGACTACGGATACGTATTTACTTTATTGGTACTTAAGCTGCAAAAATATTGGCAAGATGAATGAATAATTGTGGGAAAGCTGTGATAAGTATGCAATATGTTGAGTTACCGTAACCTCACTATCATAGTGGCACCAACTCACTACTTGAATCATCTTTTATAAGATGCTGTATACTACTACGATCAGAATCAATTTTAAAAGTAGCAAATTGGTACCACTAGAACTGTTGTAGATGTCAAACTCATTAATGAAATGCAAGGGCAAGGAACAAACGTTACAACCCGCATGAAATTGAGATCACTTACATCACAACATATTAGTTACATTTGCTAACCAAACACGACTCTATACGTAATCTGATGGTATATTGTGAAACATAACACCATGTATAGTAAAGTATAAGGTTTTTTTGTCACACTAATCTATGTCATTAATTGCATAAGCTAGTTATAAAGGTATTTTTAACTAATCGGTAGCTCTTTAGCCTTACAATAGCACCGATGTGCCGCAGCCACAAAACAAATAAATTATATTTAACACTAGAAAGTCAACAAGACTCCATAGCTTTTTGAGTAACTATTAGAGGCATGCCACATGATTAGTCTGTAATGTGAAAGTCAATGTCAACTTACACAAATGGCATCTCTCTTACCGCAAAGTTCACACATTGTCTTCAAAAATGTCTTAAAATAAAAATTTAATATTACAAATAATTCTAACGAAATAAAACTGAACAATAATTTTAAGTCACAATAAGTAACAAAGAATTGTCAATGAAGGTTAACACACACATTGAGCTATCGTTTTTCTGCTAAAAGAGAAACATTTTTAAGATGCAGTCGCCAAATCGAAGTAAACGAGGTAAATGTATAAAATTTTATAATTCCTTTCAAATTATAAATTTTAACAAACAATGGAGTCAGTTCAGATGTTTTTATCAGATTACAAATTAAATAAATAATCCAATAGATTGTAGTAGCCAATAGATTTGGCAGAAGGCATCTATTTGCATGTCTTCTAAATTTTAGTAAAGTTATTCAATAAAATGTAAACTAGGAACAACTAGCATTGTCTCAAAGGCTATTTATGTTAGAACACTACTTAGTTAACTATATTATTAGAAAGAGCAAAATATTTTACGACACTCCTAATTCGTATTCATCTATAGTCTAAAGCAATTATAAATTGAATGCGATGTGAGAGTACACAAAATTTAACATATATATTTGATTTGGCATGTGTTTGGTAGCGGTGGGTATTTGTAAAATTTTACTACAATACAAACTGTGAGTATATAACATTGAAAAATGTGATTTATTTCTAAATTGATTTGGTGAATTTAATTATTTACGTAAGTATCATGACTACTGTTATATTTATTTGTAATACGTTAATTACGTTAAAGTGGGTACATATGAAAATTGTGAGTAATAAATCTAACATATGTCTTATCGTACGCCTATTTTGGACTTGACTACAGTAATTGCCAATGTCAAGGTAGCATGGAAAGGGTTAAGTCAATTTTAGTTGTCAATGTGCTCTTTCGACCACGTCGCTATTAGCTAGAATTTGTCAACATTACTCAGACACTACTGCAACTAGTAGAGGACAGGTAAGATATGTTCATATTGGGTGCGTTGACTTCGACGTCAAAGTATCCGCGTTAACATTTTTGGCAACACAAAGTCAGAAGCGCAGTGCACCTCTCCATTAGACTGGTTTTACAGTCACGTTGATCGACAGAGTTAATAGCCAAAATGTTCCAACTTCTAAGAATCACATTTTAGTCACGAGTATCAGGATGACTCTACAATCAGTTTTACACCTCAAAAGATCTAAATTCATATGTTTGATCTTGCCTATAATAAGTCATTGGCATTTTGTTACGAAGTCTGTTTGAGTTGGCTTCAATGTTGGAGGTGGGGAGTGGTGTTGGGGTGGGGGGTAACATCTAGTGCTTGGGTGCGGGGTGCGCGGCGAGTGCGGCGGGCGGGGAGGGCAAGGTGACTGGAGGCAGAGGGTCGCGCCAGTAGACGGCGTGCGAGAACTCGTCGCTCGGCTCGCACTGCGCCGGCGGGAACACCTGGTCCACCAGCACCGACATATGCGAGTACCTGATACAATATACATACATTGTTAAACTCTATTTTTTGTAAATAAACTATTGTAAAGGGTTATTTTTTAATCACTACAAAAGCAATAAGTAGTTTTTTAGAATAATTTTTCGATGTCGATTTAATTTTTTTTTGTCATAAATATAATAAATAACGGCAATAAGTATGATTATATTTTTTACTGGTAATTAAAAAATAACTAAATATTGAACTTAAAATGTAATAAAATCATGAAGAAGTTTATATATTTAAATATTAAGTGACAGTTGTGTTAGTGACAGATATAATATAATTCACCATAGACAAAGACTTCCAATACCAAAGTTATAGAAATGGTGTGTGGGGTGGCAGGATAGTGTAGACCCTAATGCTTATAAAGATTTGTTAGCATTAGACAAAAGAGAGAGAGAGAGAGAGGCTGTTTATGTATTTAGCTAGGTTTTTGTGACAGAGGTGTGACGCGTCTTTTTTGAAATTACCAACACATAGACAGCCTCTGAGAGACAACAGACAGATAGACACACACAAAACCAATGACAAGTCGATGATTACTGATCATTATTAGTGGAAATTATAATCTACGTTATTTTGTCAGGCTCTAATGAAACTGATGACTTCGCGGTATCAAGTGACAAGCCCCTATATTCATGCCAACAGGCTTACCGGGGGATGTGGCGCGAACTATTCCAAATTTTTTTTTAATAAATTTAGTAAATCTATCGTCGCTAGCTTTTAACGTTATGACGTTTCATAGGCGGGAAGAAATCATCGACCATGTCACTTTGCACGTGGTAACTGAAATAGAAATAGCTTACTTATTATATTGTACGTTCCTATATGTTAGCCACCCACACAAATATAATATATACATACTAACATAAATTACATTTAATATATATAACAATTTATATAGGACATTACATGTAACAAGAAGGTTATGAAATGCCTTATTTAATAAAACTTGCTAAGTGCAATGACAAGTTATTTACGCATATAATATGCAATAAAATTTACTCAACAACTAAAGGTTTGTGTAATTTTGAAAGGTGCAGTCTTTGTATACCTTTTTAAGCATACAAGTGGTTGGTGTAAGCAAAATTTGAAAATATTGACAATCAATGTATGAAAAAAAGCTATTAGATAATGGCTTGAAACAATCAAAACAGAATTAGCTAGAATTTAATTTTGACATAATTTTGGCTGTCGGCCCATGTATATGTATGAAGTATGGATTTTATGGTGACGTATGTGTACTCACGTGGATTGGAATGTCTGCGTGAGCTCGTGCTTCAGCTCGCCCTTGTAGTTGATGGTGAAGATCCTCACGATGGGAATGCCCACAGCTTGGTAAGCGCACACGTCCTTTTACAAAAAAGTACTCTATTAAAAAGAGGGCAACCGCCGAAAAGTAAAAAAAACATATTATTACATCGAAGATCTCAGAGCAAAAAAGTAACCCTGCAAAATTATTATTATAATTAAAAAATTCGAAGTACACAAAAATCATATTGCAACTCACATTAACCCTGTTCCCGTATCCAGCGTAGAAGGGGTTGGAGTTGTGGGGGAAGAGAGCCTTGATATCCGCGAGGCACTGGATCTTGAACTCTTCGGGCTTCTTCTCAATGACCTCGCGGTGGAAGGCGCGCAGCAGCGAGGTGGGGTTCAGCAGCAGCGGCCCGTCCGGCAGACACACCTCGCCCTGACGGATCGACCGCAGGTACTCGCGAGTCACCTGATACAACATACGAATATGTAACTCTATACATATTAATAAAATTTGTCCGCAAGTTCTGAACAGCGAGCATTTAGTTCTGTGCAGTAGAAGTCGCGGGCGAACGCTAGTTAATTATTAAAAGTTTATATTTTATATGAAAAGGTTGTCAAATGAAGCAGTGGAGATATTGTCTCACCCTGGCTTGTCCTATGGCCCTCGCGGACAGATAGAGCAGCTGGTAGCCGTTGTTCTTGATCTTGGTGAAGAGCTGCGCGACGCCAGACTGCGCCCAGTCCTTGCCCACCAGCGGGAAAATGTGTCCCAGCACGTCAGACCTACACACGCAGAAAACGTCAATTTTCAAGAAGAGCATTACGTAAGCAAATTAGAAAGTTCAAAAAAGTAATAATAAAAATTACTGTTTTTAGTTTCAGTAGCAGCACTGTTTATGTTTACTAGCATTTATAAACAAAGATATTAAGCGCTTGCATTTCTTCGTGTAAGAATTGTATGAGTGTGTACACGTGTACATGTAATGCGTACGTCTGTACGTGCGCATGGACGCATAATCCGTACGTCTGTACGTGCACGTGTACGTGCAATGCGTACGTCTGTACGTGCACATGTACGTATGACTCGTGCCTTACTCACTTGGTGATGGTGCCGTCGATGTCAGAGATGACGATCTTGTCGTCGTGTCGCCAGCGGAACACGTTGCACTTGCAGCGCGTCGTGCCCTGGTACGCCGTCGTCACGCTGAACACCATCTCGTTCATGCCCTCGCGCAGGTTCAACTTTTTCTAAAAATATTATTTATTTGACGTGAAGACATGATATCACATTTAGTTTTTACTTTAAACGTTCAATTTATAAAGCAACCAAGAATATAAGAAAAATGGGTTAAAGGCGCTTCAATCGTCTTTGTATTTTTATTTGTCTATACAGATTTTTCTAGGACATTCAGTCTTACTCAGGGTACAAGAAATAAAATTTTATTTACAATTTGGTCGGAGGAAAGTCGCAACGTTTTGCGGAATGTAGAATGACGTCTGGAAGGTTTCTGATGACTCTCCTGCTCAGAATCAGACGAACTTTGCTCCCTTTGGTCATCTATAACAAAAATAACCTCATTTAAACATTATAAATATTTAAGGCGAAAACAATGACCTTACAAAGCAGTTACTGGTATTTGCAATCAACATCAGACCACAATGTGGTTAGATTTATTTTACCGTGTAAAATGAAATTTTAATTTTGAACAATTATTTGTTGTTGTTGAAATATGAATTTTAACAGGACAAAAAAAGAAATAATGAAATAAAGTAGTATTTATTACCTTTAATATGTGTTTGTTTCGTAACTGGCAACACTTCTGCGACATCTTCGGTCGGGGTCAACTCTATGGGTTCTATGACGTCATTAATGTTAGTCTCTTCTGTGTCCCTGTCTTGTTCCTCTCCCGGGGAGTCCGGGGAGTCCACTTGGTCCTCATTGATGGTGACCTTCACCTCTTTAGCTGTGTCCGGTGCTTGCTGTGACTCTGTTAGCTCTTTGACAATTTCTTCTTTTGCTGGTGATGGTTCAGTTCTAGAGAATAGAACGATTTTGTATAAATTAATTTATGACGTTTTTTTTATTCACGAAACGGTTTGTATGTTCCATACTATAATTATCACAATGAGGAATTTAGAAAAGAATTAAATTAAGTATTGTAAAAATTATTTTAGTAAGTTATTTTTTTTTGTAATTTATTTTACACAATAATATATGAAAATTTACGAATTAAACAAATTCTTTTGTTCTTCAATTGCTCTTTGTTCAAATCGTCCGATTACAAATTATGATAATACGATTATTAATTAGCATAATCCTTATTTGCAATTTATACGCCTTAAAAATATGTTATCATTTGTAACATACTACATTTTCTTTATTAAAAAACATAATTTTTTGTCGAATCATAACAGAATATATCTAGGTTTTGAGTGAACGATGACAATGCTAAAAAATATTTGCGTTTGTATCATGACAAAATATTTGGCATTTGAATTGGAGTGTTGCCAGCAACACTAAACTATTAATATTAAAACCCAATATTCCAAACATAGCATATTCCTCATTATTGTTTTTTTTTAATTATTGGGAATATATACAAATATTTTATCTTTTATAAGGAATGGTAAAGTTTTTTGTAACAGCGGACATAATGAAATTACGTTAAAACATAAACGAGGAATACGACCTGGCAACCAAGTTACGCAGACTGGAAGATAGTTTTATAATTCCTCTCTTTTTGTATGTTTCCTCTCGCTCTAACAGCTTAAGCATGGCTGTCGTAACGAGCTGATATTTAAGTAAGCTGTAAGCGTGTGTAGTCCTGTGTTACCTCTTGGCGTCTGCGTTGGAGCGGCGCCAGCTCCACCAGGAGTAGGAGCGCGGCTTGGCGCCCGCGTCCGCGCTCTCGCCGCCTGCGCGCGCGCCCCCCTCCACCTCGCCACCGCCCCCCACACCCACACCCACACCCGCCCCGCCGCTCGCCTTGTCCACCTCATCTAGGATACGCTGTGCACGGAAAAATTTCTTTTAAAAGGAGAAACTAATATTCCGGGTCAACATTGGGTAAAACAAAGATCCTTCTATATTTCTTTCTAGAATTTTTTTTGTAGTTTAATTGACATATCCTAATAGTATTATAAATGCGAATGTTTGGATGGATGGATGTTTGTTTCAAGGTATCTCCAAAACGGTTGAACGAGTCTCGATGATTTGGAATACATATAGAATATAGCCTGGAAGAACACATAAGCTACTTATTGTTTTTTTTTTAAATCACGTGGACGGAGTTGCGGGCAACAGCTAGTTAAATATATCTTTGATATAATCAACTTTCTTGTTTTTAAAGTGTCATTAATTTAAATAATATTCAAATATCTGTTCAATTCAGGACGCGTGACTACAACGTGGTGGAGACGTGCAATATTTTACGTACTGTTTGTTACAATTTCCAGTGATAAAGGTAACACGCGGCAACCACGAGCTCGAGGTATAATTGACACATGATTTATAGATTTCATTTACTGATTTTTAAACATAAACATACAGATTACATAAGTCAATGTACTATTATCCGCATTTATATTAAAATATGTGCATCTACGAAGATACTATGTGCTTTATTACAACCTTAGTAGTGTAAAATTACAAACTTAATCGTGTTATATTTAGAGAGAAATGTTTTGGTATGGATATAAAAATATATAACTTCAAGAAATGAACATTACAAAATCAATCTGTTTCGCAGTTTCCTGTAAGAATGTCTACAAAGTAGTACATTGTATGAGTCACCTTAGGCAGGGGTCGTCTATAGGCGAGCAGTGAGAGTATGAGGAGGCCGGCACTCCGCCAGGGCAGCCGGCGCTCCCCCACGCGCACCTCCAGCCGCCCCTCCGCCAGCAGTGAGTCGCCGCGCGCGCAGAACTCCTCGAACGTCAGCGAGCGCGACACCGCGCCCTCGCGCAAGTACACTGACACCTGGCCCCTGATACACATACCACCATTTACTAAACGCTGGACAAAGGAGGAGAAATGAAGAAGGAAGGAGAATGTGATTTATAACCTAGCCCTTGACCACATTGAATCACACTTAAAGATACCCTTAAATATATGTATTTTCATTTATCTTAAAGAGATATCTAATGTTTGTTCAGTAGACAAAACCTTTTTTTTAATTACTTTCATTTCATGCAACTTTGGCTCAAATCTAACTAGTTTTAAAAATGCAAATGTGTGGATGGATGGTTATTTGTTAGAAGGTATCACCAGAACAGCTCAACAAATCACGATGAAATTTGGCAGAGATGTAAAACATAGTCTGGAAGAACACGTAAACTACTAAGTTTTTTTTTTTAATTTTGCGCGGGCAGAACCGCGGATAAAAGCTACTTTGTCATATAAATTAAAATCGTATGGATTGTTAACCTAGTGTTTAGAGTAATAAAATAGGAGTTGCAATACGTCTATTTTATTACATGTTAGTAGGGATGACGTCAATTGCAACATATATGAACATCGCGACTGCACAATTTCACGCAGTGAGATAAGATGCGATTGCATTTCACTGAGTCATCCAATCCGCATTACAAACGAGGGATTTCTGAGTAATATACTAACTATCTTTGATTTATTACATTCAGGTAAAATATTTGCAGCAACTAGAACATGTAATTTGATCCTTTCCAAGAAACGCTTAGAATGCAAAAAAGTAAGATAGAACTGTTCCTAAATTGAATCCATTTTTTATCGTTGAATATACTTACTTGCTCAATATCTTGTCATCATCATCAGAATCGATAGCTGGGGGTTCTAATGATGTCGGTGACTGCGGCAGCGAGGGTCCATTCCCTGATTCATATTCCTCCTCAGTCGGACCACCCGTTTGCGGAGCAGCGCCACTGACTGCAAATACGATTAACTTAAACCACTGCTAATGAAAATTCAATTATTATTTTCTTCCTTCAATCTGCACCTTCAAGCAGTTAACCACGAGCTTCTATAAAGTTTGAATCTTGTAATACATGGAACGAATTAATAAGATACTTGAATATTAAACATAATCTATAAGGATACACTAACGTATTCTTAACGAGAATTGTTAACGACATTTTCCTTCCTCATGCACCGCACGACTTGACATAAAACGAATATCTTTTAGACAATACCTTTTTGTGTTGTATTATAGTGAGATTAAATACATTAGGTCATCAACAAACCCATCAAATTATTGATTAAATTATTACTACGATAGAATTTAAAATGACATTTATAATGGCAGGTGGAGCGACCGTTGACCTTTAAATAGCGAAGTCAACTGTTTTTATACGACCCTACAACGATGTAACATACAAAGTAATGCTAGTACTACAGAATAATTACATAACGACAAACATGTGAAAAATTAATTTGGTTAATGTTAACAAACAAAATTATATATATAATAGAATGATAAATATGACTTTAATTTTAAAACAAGTAAATAATATATCTGAATCGCAATTGTTATAACATCCGGTTTGTATTTTTATAATGAATGAGTCAAATATGACTAAAATACTGATATCTTTCATAAACATATCCTGCATTTGATAGTACATACGGAACTACTTAATATTATTTGACTACATAATGAAAAAAAAAGATAAGAAAATTAATAGATAAATTCTTAGCACTTGCTTTTCGATTTTGCTTCGACTATTTAGACTTTCTAGTCCACTACCATTGGATCGATCGAGTTATCTTAGAGTCAAATATTCTAGCAGCTTACCTGAGCGATACCTTTCCGTGTGATGTTTAGGAAAGTAGAGATCTGGATCGACTTGTCCGCGATCCAGGTCGTCAAGGTACACGCCCTCTGTGGTCGCTTCGTTTGCATCTTTAGTGGACATGAAGCGGAACATGCCACTCAGCACTCCTCGTCTTCCGGGCCGCTCTTCGTCAGAACTGAGCGGTTCAGCGTGCGAAGCGGGTGACGCTGGAGATGCTGGTGATGCAGAAGATTCGGGGGATACGGCGCTCGCTCCTCTCAGCGGCGGCTCAGGTAGTTCCCCCCATCGCCAGGATTGTGACGACTTGTCGCCAGATGTGGCCCGTGATAGTTCAACTTCTGTGTCGGACTGCACGGGCGTGCCGCTCCGTGACCCCTTGCTACATATTTTATTGTACATTATTACTATGTCAATAAATAACCAAAGGACTTATAGAATCCTAACCAATATTCTTTTGCACTTTTGTGAATACTTATCATGTAATTATTTACACAAAGATAATATATTTATGGAGGATTTCTTTTGAGGATAATTTTAATTGTAAATACGACATGACAATGCCAATTCAAATTTAATTTCAAATTTTTTACTTAAGTTCTGTTTAATAATATAACTTTATTGTGAGAAATATGTTAAGTGAATTTTAAAACCAGCAATTCTTCATCAGAGGCTAATACATTGTGATGTTAGTTTTCTTTGCAACATAATAATGCATTGTGCAATATATGCAAAGTTAGTGCTACGATACGAGTTTACTCAAGCTATGATTGCGTTAATATATTCTGTTTACTTTTAAAAATATATACTTGTGTTATCTCAAACCCCCTTAATACAATTTAAACTACTTTATTTATTGATATTTTGTTTAAAGATAACACAAAGCAACAATTTATTTGAATAAGTACGATAACTACAATATAAAGAACGACATACTTTTGTTTTCAATTACTTGATTGTACGTTTAGCTATAAAACAAATATTTACTAAATACTTCGAATATACTTAATCCAATAGAGATTTAATGAAAGCTTATCAAATCCAAGTATACTTTAACACAGTTTAATAATAGTGTGAAGGTGATAGCAAGCTAGGCAAGTGGGTTATGGTAGAACAATGTTTACGCATGTCTGGAGGCTGCGTGGACCTCGAACGCTGTATCTGACAACGCCAGCGGGATACGGTTGTCTCCATTTAGCTTCAAATTTGACATCTCTTCGCTGCAAACAACCCCAACTCAATCAACAAACGTCCAAGACACACTTTAGAAATACTTTATGTCGATGCAAAATCAACTCACCTAAGTGCAGCCGCATTCGCTTCGGTGTCACTAAAGAAGTGAATATCGGCATTATTCTGAATGGAAGCTGGTTGAGAACTACGCGGCTCCGAACTGGCGAGGTCTGACTGACTCGAAACTGAGCTTGTCGATGATTTCCTTTGATGCTTCTTCTTCGTGCTGACTTTCCTCGTCTTCTTTTTCTTCTTTCCGTTGCCGTTCTGCTTTACTTCTTCTTGATTAGCAGGCGCTGCGTCGATAGGACGGAAGTCGTTGTTAGCACTTATCTTTTGTACCACCTGATTCGCTTCGCTTTGCGCTTCTCCGAGCTTTGTAGCTGCGAATGTCTTCGGCTTTGCATCGACCCAGTCTACTGAGACCTCATCCAGGCCCTCCATTTCAAATAGAGCCTCATTTTCATTATCATTTTTCGTTTCTTGATCTTCTTTGGCTTTAAGCTTACTTAAATTAGGTTTCTGCAGAGTTTGTCCATCAGCTGTGTATCTAAACAAGGAAAAAATTAAAATGATAAAAATGTGAAGTTTTAAAGAATTTAACTTCGATCAATTTCTTCATACACTATTATCAATGACTTCTACTATTAATAAATATGATGCTGTTACGGTAAGTTATTGGCTCAAGTGACTTTACCGTATAAGCGGGCACGTGAGAACAATGGGGTAGAGTCTTGATATCATCGGTTTAGACAAAATACCATTGTTTAATATTTACACAAGTTAAATTGTTTAGTAAATTTGCAACAAGCATTTGTCGCTGCATGCGATTCGACTCACTTTCTAGTTTCAACGGTGCTTAAGTAGGAAGTAACGTAATCAATGGCTGTTGTCTCATTTAAACAATGAATCGATCCGTTTTTTTGTGCAAAAACCGAATCGAGATTCTATTGTTTTTATGTCGCCTTGGTATAATTTATACTTTAGTTTTTGCTGTAATTTAATTCTGTCAGTTTTGTAAAAAAATAAATAGTAACGCACTGGTTGTTGCATATTTTTGGCACACACTTCGCTTTATCTACGCCACTAGGCTTAAGGAAACAAAGTCCCGAAGGAGCTTATATTTACGTTCTCAGATAACTCTTAAATAGTGGCTTACCGTCGTTTTGTGTAGTCAGAAGCCTGTCCGTGATCAGGCTCGACAGCAGAAAGGGAGTTTCTGCGGCGAGGCTCGTAGAGGTCGTCGAAACGCGAGGCCGGTATGGGAGAGGTGGCAAGGTGAGCCGAGCACTCCGCCTCATCTTCCCCGACTTCCTCCACAAAAAATGCTTCGCCCGATTCACCGAGCTTCATATGTATGTTCAGCTGTTCACCGTTTAACTCTAAATCGACCTGGGAAACAAACATTCCATTGTAATGGTTTGTGATAGCAACATTTATATTTGAAAGTGTCTAATGAGAATGAATATAAACTTGATTAGTTTTTATTTTAATAGATTTTTCAGCTCAATCTATTTTACTAAATGAAAATATGGATAGATAATAAATAATATTTATAAAGAAACAGCTCAAATTTTGCATAACATTAACAAGAGTTTTTTTTTAATAAAACATTTATAGCATAACAATCATAGATGTTTCAATCACATTCTCAAGCTTAAAAAATTTCTGTAATAATAATATTCGGCACTTAAGAAAGGAGAAGAAACGTTGGACTAAAAAAACAAGATGAGAAATATTTGTGCCAATTTTTTTAGGCAAGATTCCAATTTGCACGGCGAGTCGTATTGGACGCAGTTTTGCTATTCCATTTTGGCAATCGTTTTCGCGCCAAAAGTTAGTATAGTTATATACACCTAATTACATATTGTCTGCAAACTTTGGCATCTTAAATTTTATAAAAATATATAGAAATCATCTAACAGATTATATAACTTGTAAAAATAATCAAAATTGTAAACTTAATGCGTAATATATTACATCTTTCTAAACTCGTTTTCATTTTCTGCAACGAAATTGCAGCCGCCTCGTGTTTAAATAAAATAAAACAGACGTCAAGCTAGCAAGCTTCTTACACTGCTGAACATTCTAGACACGTATGGACTATACGGTATGATTCCGGCGAAGCGATGCGTCTCCATTTCGCTCTATCTCAGATCGCTTCTCGTACGCCATATTACATATAACGTCTTAATATCGCAATCGGTTACACACGCTTCATTTATATGTAGGTAATTTACGAAATCGATAATCTCGTCTCGTCGACATCGTTTAGATATTCGCATACCTTTTCAAATGATCTAATAGAAAGGAAGTTGTTCTATTATTTGTTGGATGTATTCTATTTTAGTACTATATAAAATGATACAGCAATATGATCGTGGGCTAGAGACGTTTAATGATATTTATCTACTACATTGTTTTATTCGATATTGATAAAATGTTTTATCCAATTCATACTTTAAACGAAAACGTTTGCAACGTCTTTATAGACTTATTCGATCAGAATATTAATGTTTGCGCAAAACTACGTCCCTGACGCGACACGACGGCGCGTTCTTGTGAGGTCGGTTCCTGGTCTATTTATACGTAGGTACGTCGGACATTGACAATGGATGCCCGTCGTCAAATTATTTGCTGCAGATAATTTCACTGTTTTATATAGATACTATATAACTTTTGATGTAACCAACAGAACTTATGGTTCAACGAAATTAACGACACATGTAGCCGCTCTTAGGCAAAATCCAGGAGGTTTTACCATTGTCATAATATCTTCAATAAGCATACAACAGAATTGCCTTTTAAAGGCTGTCATAAACGCTGTCATTTTTAAATGGAATCGTAGCATGACGATGCAAAAAATATTAAAATTTAATATATAAATAAGTACAACGTTTTAAAATGTCTTTGTTATTTTATCATATCTGTGTGAATTTGACTAATATATTTATTAACAAAGCAAACGATTTCTGAACCTTCCATGTAAAACAATAATAATTATTATTTTATGTTAGAACCAACATGATGCATTTAATTCACATTTGAAAAGAAACAATAGCATTTGATGGAACCAAAAAAGTAGTATGTAATTCTCATCAAAAGTTATTCACAGGCAAATATTGCAATAATGAGATTTTTACCAAATATGAAATGAATTAAATTGAAAATATAACAGTCGTCAAACTCTGGAATCAAACTTAAAGACAAAAAAATAATAAAGCCATGTGATATTTTTCAAGAATATTTGTTTAGAAGATTTTTTTAAATAAATTAATCGTATATGATTATTTAAAATAAGAAAATGTTAAAACTGATGTCTGGAGAAGAACAGAATTTTCTAACAACGGAGTTTACTAAAACAGTATACAAATACATTGGCTCAAAAGAACGTATAACCTTATCGTGTTGGATCCTTGGTGTGGTGGTAAAGACAATGCATCTTGTCTTAATTCGTTAAAAGAGATCCCATCCCCAACTTTTTTAAGACACGTTTTTTTTTAATTATTATAAGAACAGTTTTTATATTCATTAATAACGAAAACATACTTAGACTGTAAAGTATTTATAGATTTAAAAATCTATTCTTAATTCAAATCCCACACATTTATCATGTTAATGCCTATAACACACTAAAAAAAAAACGCGTAATACAAATAAGTTTTTTACAATAACTATAAATCGTCTCTAGCAAATGATTACGTAACACCTGGCATTACTTGAGTGAACACGACAAAGTTATATGTGAACAGTTCATTAGCGGCGAATGGTAACGTGTTTTTATTCCATGTTAATGAATGGACATTGATGTATGTTATCACAAACACATTCGAATCGTTTTTTGTGTCGGTCTAACGATCGAGTCTAAGATTCATTATTATTTTAAAAAGCAAACTCTCACGTCTAATGACGATGATATCCGCATTTATTTTTGCAATACGTATCTGATTTTTAATAAGACAGAATGATATAAAAAATTAACACACAACATCCTGTATATAACATTGATGAATTCTTACATTGTACGGTCTGATTGTTTTTTACGATGATTATTTTTTATTATATTGGTTTAACTTTCACCTGCGTAGATGGTGGCCGAATCAACTTTCAAACTAAACTGCTGATATCAATAAACAATATCAAATGCTAAAAAACAATTATCCAGTAATTGAAAAATAAAATGAATCAAACGATACCTCACATTCCAAAATAAGTCAAGGTGATTAGATTGTACATCTCAATAAAACGGGCATACAGGCATATTCAGACAAGCCGTAAAAATACGGTAAAAAAACTATACTTACGACTTTGAATCTGGATCTCAGCACGCCCAGCTTGCCGAAGCGTACGTGGAATGGTGAACAGGTGAAGCTGCCATCGGGCTGCTCCACGACCACAACGTCGATGGCACCCGTCAGTGTCGCGCTGTTTATCTCGTTGTAGAAATCGCGAAAGTTCGCGATGAACTTGCCGATATAGTTCATAGAATACATGGCGCTAATTGTCTTCACTGACATTTACTATAAACAATCTACCACTATCACTTAAATTACACTCAAATGTCAATGTTTCTGTTTGTTCGTCTCACCGATTACCCCATTATGTTTGCTTGAAGTTGAATATATTAAAACTCCTGAAACAAAGAAAATACTATGTAAAGCATGAGTTGTGAAAATTCATATTATTTACGCGGAAAAAGATAAGAACCTGCATAATTTATGGATTGTAAAAAAAATTAAAAGTAAAAAGCATCAATCTTAATCTTTATCTGCATCTATTTTATAAAATATGGCAGCTTTTATAAATTACATTTAAATTCCGATTGATTTTAATTCCTTTACAAATGATATAAAAATTATTTCTTATCCAGGACGATAAAAGGCTTATCGAAAATTTTTAACTAATCAATTACAATTATATTTAAAAAATATTTATGTAATGAAATATTTATCATATAGTTATAAATTGTTATCTGTCATGACCGTATCATGGAATAAGGTCAATATTTCCTGCGAGACGTAACAAATTACGCACAAAGCTATGATAATGGAATGATGAACATGGTACTTGCGTATTTTCCTAAACACAATAAAATTGATAAGAAAATACATAACATAAAACATATAAAAATTTATACAAGATCTTAGCGGTATTTTTGTTGAGACACTGCACTATTCAATTATTACATAGTATCTTTATATTGGTATATGTTATTGCATAAGTATTGTATTTTATTTTACGACTATTGCTACTATGTTATCTTTTATCTTGCACCGTAATATAGTTATCAATTATTGTATAAAAATAGATAAAGAGATCAGATCAGCACTATTTATAAAGTATGACCTACTTCTTAGCTATTTTACCCAAGCTAATAAATGTAAAGAAACATTAAAATCAAATTTTACACGACCTTAATAAACAAAGTTCATTAACGTAGTAAAGTTGTAGTGCGGTTTGAAATTACTTGCAGTTCGGTCATGGACGCAATGCAATATCTGCGTGCAATATCATACAGTTGCCTGTAAAACCCGACAGTGATAAGTGGGTCCAATGCTCTAAATTCTTTGTGTGACGTCATCCCTCTTGCTTACATGCTTATATTTATACCTAAAAGTTGTAAACTTTTCACTTTCAAAATAATCATAATCGCATCTGTTCAATGTAACACCTATTTCCCTTACGACGGATACCAAAACTTTTTAAATGTTTCCAAACAAATCAGTGGTGAGGAATGGAGTCGAGTCATTGCACTCGGCGTATCGGGCAACATATACAGGATGTTGTTACACAACGTTGCACGCACCGAGATGCAAGCGCGAATACCACTCGACTACCGACTGCTGACCCCGACGTAAAAACCTCAATTAGTAATGAAACTATCGTGTATGTGCATCGTTCATATTGAGGTTACATTAACTGAAATCATCGTTGTAAGTGGCGTTAGAATAAATTACAACTGCAACTGAACGCAACTTCATTACAAGTGTGTATACAAGCCTTTAATGTAAATTAGGCAAAGGAAATTAAATTATTTAAATTATCTCACACACTTGTAAAAACGGCTAAACATTACATTTTTGACAAACGCCTAGTTTGATGACTTGGTTTGTTTATAAATTAAACTGCTCCTAGATTGTAAAAAGAACCTTGTTCTTGGGGCAGATATTTATAAAGATAAATTTAGATACAGATTTTCATGGGTACAGCTAAAAGTCAATCGTCCGAATGGCTTATAAAATAAAAAATAAGAACTTTATATGTTGAATTTAATATAAAGTAAAATGATGAATGTATAGAGGTGCAATAATGCAAATGTGTGAATATAATTTGTAAAAGCACGTGGCAGCGACATGCGTGACGGCTGTCGCAAAAAGCGGACTCTGCCCCCGCTGTGCGCCGGTGTCGACGGGAATACGTGTAACTCGAACAATGACTAATTCACAAGAATAGCGAATAGATAAGTTCTAGACACATTCTATATAATTACCTATTATAAATGATATGATATAATACTGTATGACGAAATCAAAGTCGTTGTATATATTATCGTTGGAGCAAATTCAAGTTTTGTACACACTATCTTTAGAAGGTATATCATTTTGTAATGTGCAATGTGTTTCTTCTCGTTAGCTCTTTAACTATAAACAGTAGCAGTTACCGCGTCGAAAGACGTCTATCAGGACAGGAAAGGAAATAATTACAGATGCGAATGTATATAAATGCATATTTCACTGTATAATATTCTGAGCTTCATTCACAAGCGAGTTGAGAAGGGCAGGTGTCCCTGGCTCATGCGTCAAACGCTTCAAGTGCCAAATTTTATTTTAGTCCCCAAGGATTTCAAGTTCAATGTGTTATGTGTCAGAGATCAAACAAAATATATAAAAGCATACATAATATAACTAACTTCATTATTGTTTGCTCATTACCCCTCGAAATAGATTAAAACAAAACTTAGAAATAATTTAGGCAAATATAAAAATAGAAAGCTTTTAAAATGAAAACTTTTTCTGAAATTTTTTCGTACTATGAATTTATATTAGAATAGAGAGATGCTGGCCACAAAATTCCAAATGGTTTTCAGTAAATTTACGTTTAATTTTTTTACGGATACAAATGTCTAGCAGCTGGTTGCCTTTGAACGAGACTAAGTTGACCTTCACTTTATAATTCACGTAAAAAACGACCCACATTTTATTGGGTTGTGGCCAAATGATTTAAAGAATTTAACAATTAAAATAAATATTTGCGAACCTCCTTCGTAGAAGTTGTCTTAGCAACTCGTATCGATACTTTAGGATTTGATACAAACCACACTGGATGGATTAAAAACAAGTGCCCAGATATATTTTATTTGAGCAAACGACTCAGTGAAAACAATAACCAGCCTTCATCCTTTATCTCAAAACCGATGAATCTTGTTAGGGTATATCTATTGAAACATCGCATTAAAATGAGGTCTATTATAATTCAGATAAATAAAAAGGGTCCGAAACACATAAAATGCTACTAAATCAACGAAATAACACAAAGAGGCGTATGAAACGTTCGACTGCCGCTTCTTTGTTGTGAACAAATAACATAAATCGACCAGCCGACGTGTCAACTGAATGATAACACAGTAGCCTTGAAGGTGTGGACTACACGCATTACAAAACCGATCGTTGCGCCGGCGTAATCTCGAACGTTAGTATTTGCACCTGTTTTATATTCTAGAAACTTTTGTATACGCAACTAAAACAAATTTTAGTAGTATTATAATATTTGTACGAAATAATCTCGTTAACTGTGGGACTTGTTTGGACTGCTGAAACGACTGTACAAAAAATGTCTCAGTTTTTCAAAGACAATGAGAAGCAATAGAAACCCACGGTAAGGTAGAGAAACACTTAAAGACGTCCAGTGTCGAGTCATGTTTCGATGGTAATAAGTAGTGTTAATGATGTTTTTGTTATTCGAAACAATACAAGAACAATGTTATTATAGGAAAATGTGATTTATCCCATACTGTTTTCCAATAACGTCAGCGGATGAATATCAGGGTCTTACTGCTTATTCATGACACCTACTAAATGGAAGCCGTATAAGAAGGTTTAATGTATATTAGACAGTAATGGAATTGTACTGAACAAAGGATATGGAATAGAACTGAATGCAGTTGCCATTGTCTGCTATATTGCTGTCGTGAGCATATACGTCCCCAACGAATGGATCGAATCTATCTCTACTCATCTAGACTAGTTCTTAGACAACGGTCTCCTAGTGAGGATTGATATCTACCATATCTCATTAAAGTAAACTAGGCATTCAACGCAATCCTATGACATAACAAATACGATCTCTCGTGTAAATGATTAATATAATTGAATTTGAATTGCCCTGTGCGTGTCGCTATTATTCAAATACATTAATACGTAAAATAAATGTTTTCAACTGGAACAAATTACCATATCAACGATACAGCACAGCAACGTCTACTCTTTGTTTCTCTATAATGGAAAACACGATGACTATTGTTGTGATTAATGTTTGGTATTAACTAAGACAAATTATTCATAAACACTTAGTAACAATATGACATCTCGATATTATTCTAAGAAAAATAAAGATGTTACTAAAAAGTTAATTTTATTATCTGTGCTTTGTATCTGTAACTTTACACATAGAGATACGATTATTATAAATGTGCAATATTAAAAAGTATTTGACGACATATGAATGACATCTCGTCAAATACTTTTTAGATCTTCGTCTAAATAAATCCAGCTTAATGGAAGTATGTATTAACATAAAATAGGTAAAAACTATTAAATCACGGTATACATTGTATAATATCAACCTACTCTAATTGAATTAGTCTCTCTATAACAGAATTAAGTTACACAACGATATTATTAATTAAATTTATAGTACAGAGATTAAAGATATTTGTCATTATTTATTCTGAGTTGCCTTATCACGTAAGAGCAATAAAAGTTATAAAAGGTAATAGGTACATTTCTTAAGTGCCATTCATGTGTTAGTAATTGGAAATGCGCCACATTCTGAATCATATGTCAGTAATAACAAAAACAAATGACGTTCATCGATGGTGTTTATCTATTATCTTGTTTATTTGTTTGCTGGTCAATTATTACCACAGCGTAGTTGTTGGGTAACATGATGCGAGTCTCGGAAGCAATAGAAAACAATAAATATTTACAAAATTAAAAAGGTATTATTATCATCAAAATATAAATAAGTATATAAATATACAATGTACAAAAATGACTTTGCGGTTTAGGTTCATCCTATGTTTAGGCAGCGCCTAATATGCCCTTCTTCTTCTCTGTCGTTGCAGTCTTGTCAGACTGGTCGTGGTCATCACGTATCAGTGACCCGCTTTACCAGCTTTACCAATATCAATATGCCCTATGTAACTAGTAAACTTAGGTTAACACGGGATGAAAATTTTTGAAAGTGAATTAACTCAAATGAAACATGAATGAAAAATCACAGATATTTGTTGAAACAATTGCAGCATTGTTAAATAAAAGGCATTGTATTAAAACATATGCGAAGAAAGTTACATACCCAGAAAACAATAACCAATGTTGATCACTTAAAACACAAAGGATAACAGTTTTACTTCAGAAAAACTGTTGAGGCTTAATTTTTTTTTAAATACGTGAAACATAAACCGTCATGAGGTTTTTTTCCCAATTAATTTTACGTAAGGTAAAAACTCCGAGGTACAAATGACGAAAGACGCGTGATTACTGTACTGAATACGTTAGTGTACTGGCGCGAACGCGATCTCGTACTCAGTTGTAAAGTTGCGACAGATTATCGAGTGACGTTCGAGTTTACACACCCACAACACAACGAACGTTCAACGTGGTAGTGGTATCGTCGCGACTGCCACGGCCGCGGAGTGGCGTGATGTCGCACCACCTCGTTGCGAAAGTGCGTTCGGCATAAGGAAGTGGTTGTATCGTTTACAAAACGAATTATTCACATGTGACCCGATAACAGCTGACACACTGCCTATGACCATCGGTCACCAGTGATCGTATGTTTTTTTATCGCGTTATATACAAGTTTAATTGTATAAAATTAATTGTAGAGCACGTCTTATGTAACATAATAAAATTAATAATAATCTAGTACACTTAAATCAATTTGATAAGAATCTTTTCTTTTAGCATTTTAACTCGATGTGTGCCACATATCGCTTACGAATCTATAACTAGACGAACAATGCTTAATTTAAAATAGCAATTAAACCTCAATATTGCTATTTAAGGAGAGTCGTTCATCTTAATTTCTTTTAATGGAGTTGTAAAATACTTGAACCTCTGACATTTCGAAAAACATTGCGATATTTCTTGCGCAACCCATGCATTTCCAATGTGAAACACACAGTTGTAGCGCTAATATAGTATTAAATAACGATGGCGTAATTAACTTAATGAAATTAGCGTTTTAATGTTGGTGATGAGATGGTTCCTTAGAATTAAAAAAAAATCGTACTCCACCGAATCCGATATCCTCGAGCTTATAAATTGTACATCTCAGTGATGTTTTTAATTTGTACATATTTGATATGAAACCATATTAGTCATGAATTGTTGCTTTGGAGTACAAAAGAGTGAAGCTTACGTTGTTACGGAAGCAAACGTGTCCATGAATAAAAATAGCGAATTTTACGCGAATTATTCGACACGATTGTATAATCTAAACATTAACAAATAAAGTTGCTAACCTTAACGCCTTTAAATTTTAGATTCAAATCCAAATGTCACTAAACCAGTTGTACAATTTAAAGATTAATTTGCCTCACAAATAGTATTTATACGAAATTAAATACGTGTACGTATATATGCACAGCCGCCTTATTTGTCTAGCGATGGGTGTGTCATGACGTAGCCTGTTGCGTATTATTTAGGACATCAAGGTTACTCTTAAATTACCAATGCACAGACTTCAAAATGCTTTGAACCGTAAAACGATTTACTAAAGGTCACAATTGCCTAGGCATCTACGTGGAAAGCTAGATGCGTATGCGCGTAAACAAAATGTTATCGTCCCGATGGCCTTCTATTAATGCGCATTCTTACGATAACATTCTAATGCGGAGTTATCAGAAAAAAAACAAATCAATATTTGAATATTAATTATTTTACTTACGAAAATTTTACTTTAATATTATAAATGCGAATCTTTGGATGGATAGATGGATGGATGGATGGATGGATATTTCTTTGAAGGTATCTCCAGAACTGCTGTATGGATCACACTGAAATTTTGCATAGATGTAGAATTTAGTCTGGAAGAAAACATAGGCTACTAATTAAGTTTTCTTTATAGTCCCGCGCGGACGGAGTCGCTGGCGACAGCTAGTTAACAATAAATTAAACTTACTCAAAGTATATCAGGAAGTAAAGAGAAAACTCAGTTCAGTGAAAGCTGGAAATCGCTCCACCGGAAACTCGGAAGAAATCTTAAATAATGATGATTACAGATTACACCTAAGTATATTATCTTAATCATTCTGTACTAACTATTCTGCACTTCGACATACCAAATTTTATGCACAAAATTTTATACTATACAGGGCAAAATTATTTCAAATAGAGGAATTGATTTTTGGATAACCAAATTTCACGTATCATTGCAACGTGACTGGCAATGATCTAGGAGAATATATATTAGTTTCTTAAATAAAAAAGTTAACAAGTTGATAAATTAAAATGATAAGATATAAGTAATCTCAAATTCAAATTGTGATACAATTTATTGCTATGTTGTTTATCAATCTGGTAATAGAAAATATATTAGACTAAATAAAAAAAAACACTGTACTACACCAGAACATAGATAATTCTTATTTGTAGACAAAACTTATTAAGAAAATTACCTAATTATTTTGGGCTCATCTAAAATATCATAAAGATTTGATTATTTCTTTGCCTGTGTTTGATAGGCTCCAAAACTACTGAACGAATTTGATAAATTCTTTCACTGTTGGGAAGCTTAACTATCCCGATGACATAGGTGATATTTATTTATTTATTTATTAACTCTTAATGCTATCATAATACATAACAAAAAAGACAATTAACTAATTTACAAAGCAAGGGCGGCCTTATCACTACAAGCGATCTCTTCCAGGCAACCCAGTGGGACAGGAAAGAATAACATAGAAAGAGGGACATATAACATATAAATATCAGGATATGTCAAGAATAAATAAATAAGAGCAAGAATTATTAATAATATATATATACTAGTTACATATAGATATACTAAACAAATTAAGCAACATAAATATACAATATACATGAATACACTAACCTATGAATACAATTATATAAATTATAGGAAAGCAGAAAAATAAGCTTAGCGAAAGGCTTTATTTAGAAGATGGCGATGCAACTGTAATTTGAAGAAAGACAGGGACTTTGACTCGCGAACGTCACTTCGTCACATCACGAACGAAGTGATATTTATTAGTAGATTTTTAACTCCACGCACAAAGTTATGGTCAACTGTTAGTAGTAAATAATGGTAACAATGTGTGAAAGACGATAATAAGAAAGTAATGAGATCCAATGTACATAGTTACAAAAGTAGAGGAGGATTTAGCGAGAGGATATGCGTAAAAAGCAAGTGAATTCTGATATGTCTAATAATAAACTCATTTCGACTACTTGATAGAAACTTATGATAGATTAGTATATACTGTGTCTACTAGGTTTTTTTTCAGTGCAGGTTAAAACACTACTCTAATAACATTGTTTTTTTTAAATGAAATATAATGTTCCATGGGTGATATAGGAAATTCATACTAAAAAATAAATATATTAATATTTAGATTTCTTTAATAGATTAAATTGTTATATGCTATGCTCATTAGTAGCATTTGCATCATTCTAAATGAGAATTGCTTTATGTCATGTCTAACAAGAGAAAGTATTTAAACTAGATCTACTTCTAAAAAAACATTCTTGTATTCACCAATAATTTTTTGTTCTTTTTGCAGACTTGTTAAGAGGTCTGTGCCCCAGATTGAATGTCCGGCCTTGCACAATAATGAATTTTCAAAACATATTATATGGTTTTGGTAAAATACCTAGTATTTGCTTACTAACTAAAAAAAATGTGTATGTAGGAACTCAATGTAATAATTTTCTTTGTTTACTTTTAAAATGTATTATACCAAACCAGTTTTGTATTAAAGCATTTCTTTACTACCAATGAAAATGATTACCAAATAAGTATTATCTTAATTTAATAGGCACATAAAAAGTATTGCGATTTTCTTTGCGCACGCAACGGAAAAATTAATGGACTAATAGCCGAAAATATAACGAAGCATTTTTCATCCACGTAAAATAATTATCTTATTCTTATATAATTTTTAAGTTAAGGAAGAAAATCCAAACACATCATTGACCTATAAATCATTAAATTTCGCTGAAGTTATTTTGAAAAAACAAATACTTACAAAATCCAAAAGGCTTCTTATCTCTTTTAATAGCGGGTAACAGGTAAGAGATTATTTTCTATTATTCTAATTAAAATTCACTAATCGTAATAGAGCTTTTAGGTTCTATTATTCAAAATTAATTACATCAAAATACTGTAAAACAGACAAAGCACTCATCAAAGAATTACATGAATGTCAAATTAAACGTCAATCTCGATTGAGTACTGAGAAACGCCAGTAGCTTATTGGCGTTTTCCAGTTTCCTTTGTTCCGACCAAGTTTCGAATTTCCTTCAATTAACGTCGAATCCCTTATCATTTGAAATTTTAACTTGAAAAATATTCCTCAACAATTAGAAGACGTGATTTACCAAACCTTTGGATATCATAGAAACTTTACTTTTATTAAAAGTGTTGTAACTTCGTGAAGCAAATTTATTTTATAATCTACAATAAAGAATTTATAACCTGGCAGCAAAACTAACTCAATTTTTTGGTCTAACAACTTTCCTTGCTGTCTTTGTCAATTTTCTTTCAAACTTCTTTATTGTATGACGAATCGAAAAGAAATAATAAAACTTATAATAATGAATAGATATGGTTCATAATTTAATAAGAAATAGTAATTGTTTATTTGATTTACAAGTATTTTATTTAAATTATTACAAAAAAATAGTTGGTGGTCGTTTCGACATTGTGCTAACTAGTTCTGTTTCGTCATAAAAGCTGATTAAAGAAGATTAATCCCATGTTTTCTACATATTTTGATTAATAACCGTCGTAGGAAATGTAGTTTTATAAGTAACGCATAATTATTTAATTCTTTTTTTTATTTAACTAGAAATAATAAAATGGTTTGTAAATACTTGATTACATTTTACAAGTGACAAATGAAGTATTCATTATTTTATAGTTCATTGACTTTATTCTAGAGCTATCAAGACGAATCCAGTTGTTACGTAGGGTCCTTCCCTAAGGACTTCAGCTATGGCCCATTTGAACAGAATGGGGAGAGTGACAATGCATCATTACAGGAAGATCATAAACCACGAATTTTACTTATGGGATTACGGAGGTACAGATATATTTGAATTAAATTTATAGTGTTCATAAAAAAGACAGAATGTTCAGTGAAAAACAGTGATAATTTTTTTTTCTCTTTAAGATCCGGAAAGTCATCAATACAAAAGGTTGTATTCCATAAAATGTCACCCAATGAAACATTATTCTTAGAATCCACAAACAAAATAGTAAAAGATGACATCAACAATAGCAGCTTTGTTCAGTTTCAAATATGGGATTTTCCAGGACAAATAGACTTTTTTGATCCTACTTTTGATTCTGATACTATATTTGGAGGCTGTGGTGCACTGGTGTTTGTCATTGATGCCCAGGTATGAAATTTAAATTATTCATGTGGTATTCAAGTATCAACTTAGTAGTTATATAAATGACCAAAGTAAATTAATTGTCCTATTAACCTTACTAATACCATAAATGCAGAAGATAAATAATGAATGTTACTACATAACTTTAGAATGGCTTAAATGGATTTGGATAGAATGAACCAAAGACAGATTCCAGTAAGAATAACAAAGGTTACTTAAATATTTTTTTCAATACACTGAGAGAGATCCATACAGCTGTTTAAGAGATACCTTCAAACAAGCATCCATCCATTTATCCAAACATTCACATTTATAATATTAGTATGATTGTATGGTGTCATGACTCAATATCACTTTACCTCTTTATCAGCAATATTATTGTATATAATAGTGTCAGTGTACTGTATTGTATGTGTAGGTATTTGAAAATATAAATCATATGAACTAGTAATTGATTATTTTGTTACAATGTAGGCTATATAAGTCAACAAAATTAATAACAGTTGCCTCTTACATTGTAATTGTTTTCTGTTAACTACTATATTTATAAATATGATGAAATACATTGTTTATATGTTTTGATGCATTTATAGGATCAAATAGTTTATTCCACATGAGAAATTGCAATTACCTTATTTAATTACTTAATAATATTTTTTTATTTAATTACCTAATACCTTATCTTTATATATATAATTCTTCTGTGAGTGTGTATGTCACTGAACTTCTCTCAAACAACTGGACCGATTTTGATGAAATTTTTTGTGTGTGTTCAAGGGGATCTGGGGATGGTTTAGATTCACAATTTTCATCAAATATTAATTTCATGTTAATTTATTCAAATTAAAGATGTGTAGACAGGACAATGTCTGTCGGGTCCACTAGTTTAATTATAAAAAGGGTGAACGTTTTTGCTTCATTATTAATAAAAATGATTTCAATGCTGCATTCAAAACAACTTCATATCAACAGTTTTATAGTAATAAAACTCTGTTTTCAATATAGTGAGAGGTCAAATGTTATAATTGCATGTTTATGCAGTTTCTATCTGATTTGGAATATTGCCTCATATCAGAGAATGACGACATTCAGTAAACTACATAGTTATGTTAATGGGGTGGCAGATATTTACATTATTCATGTTGAAATTTACTTTGCTATTGCCTCTATATCAATAGTCTGTAAATTTACTGCTAGATGCTTGCCAATTTCCACCATCTATTAATTATGATGCTTAACATTTCCTTACAGTAGAATTCCACTTTTATTACATTTGTATTAATAATGTCATTCTTTTTATTCTCGCTCACATGAGACAATATATACATGTCATAGCAGTGGAGTTCTACTCTTAGAGTATGTATAGTATATTTCAAATATCTTGGCGACTTGAAAAATCATATGCATTGCTGCACTGAATACAATTAGTAGAGTGAATAGGCACTTACTAAGCTAGCGCGTACCATCTTTCGATGATGCAGCTCAATATCAGCTGCTAAGATCTTTGGAATGTATTATAACATAAATATTGTTCTACTTCTTGTGTAGTCAAAATTTTTGTTATTCTGATGACTTAGATAATTTGCTTATTACAGGATGATTATCAAGATGCTTTGGAGAAACTGCAGCTGACAGTAACAAAGGCATACAGAGTAAATAGCAATATTAAGTTTGAAGTCTTTATTCATAAGGTGAGTAATATTTTAAAGAAGTTGTAAATTTGAACAATGTTTAATTACCTCAAGCATCATTAATCCTTTTCTAAATGGATGGAGGTAAACCCTTGGTCTCTGACCTTAGTTGGGAGTTGTCCAATGTCTGTGCAACTCATGCCGTTTTATAACTATTAGGTACAGGTTGATCTGAATTTTATTTATTTTCTTTTGAAAACTTTTTGTTACAATTAATCATGTCTGATTTATTACAGGTGGATGGCCTTAATGACGATTACAAAATGGAATCTCAAAGGGATATTCATCATCGTGCAAACGAAGACTTGGTTGAAGCGGGCTTGGACCATGTGCACTTATCATTCCATTTAACATCTATTTACGATCACTCTATATTTGAAGCCTTTAGTAAAGTTGTGCAAAAATTAATACCACAACTACCAACCTTAGAAAATCTTCTCAATATATTAATTTCTGTAAGTATAATAAATTCGTAATTACTCAATATTAAAATCATTTAATTAATAAAATAATAAAAGATAATAAAATAATAAAAGTAGGAATTACTTAATAAACATGTTTAAAAAAAATGTTTACAAAGACTGAATACCTTATGAACAACACAAATTGGTTAAGCTTAATATTGCCTGTTAATTATTTTTTTATAAAATATAGATTCATCTTAAAGATATTAGTTGCTGTATTGTTTAGTATGAGATTATTGATTATTTTAAGGTATGTTTTTCATAGAACTCTGGTATTGAGAAAGCGTTCCTATTCGACGTGGTGTCCAAGATCTACATAGCGACGGACAGTTCGCCAGTAGATATGCAGAGCTACGAGCTTTGCTGCGACATGATAGACGTCGTCATTGATATCTCATGTATATATGGGTATGTAAGAAATTAAATAAATTTTTTTAATATCATAAGGTGGCAAACGAGCGAGCGGCCACCTGAAATCGCTGCAATAGCGAAGTGACCCTTGATCGACGGAGGAGAGGATGCACGGAAAAAAAAAATTCTATGCATCCCTCATCCGGAAAGTTCGTATAAAGGAAGGATGGGAAGGGAAAGAGGACTAAATTAGGCCTCCGGGACGCACTCTCTCAGACGAAACGCGGAATTGCGTCCACTTCACGCCTGTGTTGTGTTTTTCTGTATGGTATTAAGCAGTATTAAGAAAACCTTGAACCTGAAATTGACGTGTTTGTATGCGTAGATGTATGAATGTAGAGGTGTGTCACGTCTCTGCCTACCCCTCTGGGTCACAAGCGTGAGTTATATTTGTGTTGTAACAAACGACTATGTATTTTTGTTAATCTGATGTTTATCATGGGATTTTAATATGGTTAAATTTCATTTTAATTGTGACCCCATAGTTTAAATTATTGGACTGATTTTGAATGAATGTTCTTCCTCGGAATGTTGGAAATTATAAGTCATGTCATGTAAAAAACCGAAAAAATATTAAATTAGGCGTGTTATTTTGTATATGCTCTCTGTATTGTTACAGAATGGTGGATGAAACCGAAGTGAACACATTCAACAGTCAAAGTTCCAGTCTGATCAAATTGAACAACGGCACGGTGCTCTATCTGCGTGAAGTGAACAAGTTCCTCGCGCTCGTCTGCATCCTGCGCGAGGAAAACTTTCAAAAGCAAGGTATTTATCATATCTCTTCATATCAATACAACAACATAATTATTATACTTTATAACGCTTTCCATATAGCTTGTGCTAAAGGCAACGTTTTGAATTCTTTTAATGACACAAACCCCTTAGGGCACCATCCATAGTCACAGCTGGTCACATTTGTGAACCCCCCCCTTAGTGTGACGTCACACATTTTGGAATTTTATAAACAAATTTATGACATTTTAAATAGTATAGATATAAAGTATTATATTTTTAAAAGTGTGACGTCACAAAACGAGATCCCATAACATGTAAAATTGTATCACGGCGTATGGAAGACGTCACATGTCGACGTTTCTGCTTAGTAACTTTAATATGGATAAAATTCGAGGTTATTCTCAGTTCGGATATGATTTTGCAGGTGTAATAGATTACAACTTCTTGTGCTTCCGCGACGCGATCACGCAAGTATTCGAGTTACGCAACAAAAGTCAGGGCGCGCTGGCGGCGGCGCGCTCGCGCGACTCTGACGTCATCGCCAACGGCGCCGGAGACTCCGCGGAGAGCACCTCCGACTCGCACCAACTTCTATAGCACAACAATTCTCTATCTTATCTATGTTTACCCTAGAAAAAAAGCTTATTACGTGTAATTTGTATTATGTTCGGTTCAATATAATATATTGTTAATAAATGCATATTTTTATCACATTTGTATATTTATTGCGCGAGTACTCGACAATTAATAGTAAATATTGTTGATAAGATTAAAAAAATAGTCCTATTCCTAATCGAATCTTTATAGGTTATATATTATGAAAATTGACTCTGAATCTTGCGACACAAAAGTACGTCGGTAAATAATAGGATCGTAAAATGAAAAAAAAAACATATCATATAAAGTTTTAATACTTAACAATAACCAAACATAAATAGCTGATTTTTCATATCAAACAACAAAATTTATAAAAAACAGTAGTAGATTTTAACAATTGATTACAGTACACATATATACATGATTTTACTATTTGTCAGTTTCAAAACGAGCAAAAAAAGACACAAATAGCAATCAAATAATTTTATAAATACTAGTCTCAAAAATTTTTCAAAATGATTTTAAATTCATTACATGATTTTATCGCTACAAAAGTATTGATTGGGCTCAAAAGTCATTCAAAGATGAAATATCAAAATGCATGTAAGAATGTAATACAAATGTATGAAAATAAAATTATAAGAAATTAATATACGATTACGAAGTAAATCACGTACAGGTAGGAGGATTTTCGAGTTTACAATAGCATTCTGTTTTTGGTATAGCACGGCCAGAGGTCTGTTGGAAATAGAGAGGCGGCTGTAAAGGTCGCGACGCAGCCGCAGTCAGACGGTCGATGCTATTTTTGATTTCTGAGATCTTGTATCGGCGCTCACGTTCCAGCCGAAGTCTCTCGACGTGCTGCGCGTGCGCAATGCTGCGCTGCAACATTGCAAGGCTGTCCGTACGAGCCGGGAACCGCTCCACATTACACGACACCTCACCAACTTCCGCGGTCTCCGTGTCTACAATCTCTTTATGGTCCAAAATCATACCCAAATTCAATTTCATATTCGTCGGACCGTCTCTAAACGTTAAATACACGCTCGCCTGATCCAATACTCGCAACGAAAAGTTTTCGTTGACTTTCAATGCTTTCATTTTAATTTGAAACGGTTTGAACTTTTGCGTCAGCTTTTTGCTTTTCTCCTTAATAAAATTATCGAACTCGATCGCCAGCATTTCTTCGTTGTCCGGTCGCAGAGTTTGTGTGTCCCTACCTCCAAGTTTTAGTATTTCTGGATCTTTGACTGCCATTTGTGTGTCCAACATAACTTTTTGTAGTATTGGAGGATCGTTTAGTTCGTGCCATTTCCAATGTGATACCGGGCCTATGCTTTTATCTAACACGACTCCTTCAGTTTGATTATATTTGAGTCTTGAAAGTAAAGAATAAAAAAAAATATAGTTGTCTTATCGTGTTATCTAAATTTACCCTTAATTATAACATACATAAAGTAAAAACTATTACCTTGTTTTCCCAGTGTGATCAAAAACAATGCCGTTACCGAGATAGTCGAATGTCGCTAGAACGGTTATCGGTCGAGGGCAACCTTTTTCATCGGGTTCTCCGTTACTGTACACCACGTACCGCTGACCGGCATTCATCTCTACAACATTTTGTCTTTATAGACATATATGTTGACCAATTAAGTATTAATATCGTAGTAAACATTCTATTAAAAAGTTTGATTTATCCCCATTTTTCTTTAAGACCCATCGAGTTGTCTGCAATATGGGTATTTTTTTGTGATTAGCCACAATTTCATTCTAATATCTTGAAGTTACCTTCCGCATTATAATAATCCAAGGCTAATCTGCCATTCCTGTAATACCAGCGCCCTCTGCCGTCTTCATGGAATTCCGCGAGAATCTCACCCGTGTCGTAGTACATCACCTGTTTGCTCTTGTTGTTCTCGAACCAATCGAATTCAGGATGTGAAGGCCGCATTCGATAAACGTTCAACTAATATCAAAAAAAGAAAATTGGAGATCTTGTCTAAATTGTAGAGACCATAACATTGGTGCTGGTCTATAACGTAGCAAAAGTATTTTTAAAAATACCTTATGACTAATATTTTGTGCTAAAGCAGTCGGTAAAACGAAATAATCTTTCAAAGACATCTTTTGATTGCATATTGCCTAATTTTTTTAACATTAATTCCCTTCTAATTACCTTGCGTACTATTTTCTCAGTTGGTAGCATGGTCCAGCCCTTGTCAATAAACGAACGATTCGACAATGCATACCGCACAGTACCTTTAGCAGCTTCTTGGTCGCTCTGAAGTTAATTTTACAAAGGTAAAACTCAGGACACATTTTACAATAATAATTAAATCTAAGAATTCCGAATTCCTTATTTATTTATTGTTATGATCTAGCTACTATGTGTGCGAATAGTGTGAAATTCGTTTACTTTCATACATGTTTTGGTCAAAATTATAAACTTACGGTCACAGATTCAGATTTTTTCTTAGACATTTGTAAATAGTGTTACTAAACTAATAATCTTCAAAATACATTGTGCGAAATAAATTAATTTAAAAATTATAGTCCCATCTATTATGACAAACTGTCAAGTGTCAATTTATGACAATAAATCATTGTCACAACATCGCCTTTATTACCCGCCAGTTTTTTATGCCTTTAAACGAACCAAAAATACCTGGGTGGCTAGACAAAAAGCGTTCGCTCCGAAGCGATTCCATAACGAACTTCAAAAATGTTCAGAACTGACAATAACTTTCGATAAGTCATGTGATTGTATCGCGTCAGTCCCATACATTTTTGAAGTTCGTTATGGAATCGCTTTGGAGCGAATGCTTTTTGTCTAGCCCCGCTGTTCCAGTTCGTACGGCATATAGAAATAAATATCGAAACCTATATAAGTATATATTATATAATTATACTAACATTACGTAAGTTTAATTATGTGGTCACCTAAACCGGGATAGTCACGCGCCAAACGTTCCAAAATTATATTTAGCCTTGATTGAAAAAAAACATGACTTACAATTTTTCTTTTCTTTCTACCTTCTGTATAAAGAGACATGGAGGTTTTCTTATCCATGACTTCTTTTTTAACTTCTGTGTCAACCGCATAAAATGTGGATTCAAATAACAAAGGTCGAATTTCTTTCCTCTTATCTCTTTTATCACGTAGTTTTTGTTTTAAGATTTTTTGTCCTATTATGATTTCATTGACTTGGTTTAATTTACTTTTTCTTAATAACTCTTCAATATCAGTATCTAAATCAGAATCTTCGCGGCTACCTGAGGGTGTTCTTTCAATTTTGGGAGGTGGTTGACGCTGCACCGGCGGAGGTAAAATATATAGTTCTGATTGAGTTAATTTTTTAGCTTTTTCTTGTTGCATTGAATCTCTAAATTTGAGCAAACCTATGTCATGATCGTCAACAGATCCTTTCCTTATCTTCACTTGATTTACATTTATATTTTCCGTGTAAGCAGATTTACTTCTTTTTTCTTTCTCACTTTCTTTTGGAACTTTAGGTTCTTTTGGACTTGTTAATTTATCCTTAGCATCCTTCATAGCCTTGGTATAAGATTCGCTTACTGTTATTTTATTTTCTTTTTGTGGTTTCGGCTGCGGAGCTGGTTTTTCTTCCTTCTTTTTCAGCAATTCTTTTGAAGCTTTCTTCACTGCCATTATTAAACCGTCGCCGCTCTCTTCTACTGGTTTGATCTTTTCTGGTTTTATTTCCGCATATTTCATTTCAGTTTCAGGCTCTCTTTTAACAGGTTGACGATCTTTCTTAACGCGCTCTTTGACATTTTCCTCTAATCTTCCTGAAGTAATTTCTTTGTCAGGTTTACGTTTTGTCTTTTCAGGTTTATTAATAGCTTTCGGACTCGGCGATTCAGGAGGAATTTTAGGCCGCTTACTTATGTGTTGGGGTGTACTTGTTCTTGACGAAGCATCAGAACTTTCATATTCTTTGTCTTTTTTTGATTCCTTAATCAATTTACCACGTTTTACTTTACTTTTTTCTGAAATTGTAGGAGACGAAACATCCAATACTTCTTTATCTTTGTCATCTTCTAAAGTTACTCGTACAGAAAGAGCTTTCTTTTTCTTTTGTTTTCTCTCCCCTGTTGAAGGTTCCTGCTTTTGTCTTTTTTTTAATAACATTACTTTCTCTTGGATTTCTTTAAGCAGTTCGCTTGAACTGGCATACTCTTTAATGTCCTGAAATTCGGTATCAGTTTTAGGAAACACATATTTGAATGTTTCTTTGGAAACTCCTGTCGTAATGGTTGACTTCAATTCTCCAAAATCGTCGTATTGCTGGGAAAGTTTTGGACTTAACAGATGCCCCTGTTCCTTCGTTACTTCCTCTATATCTAAGTGACTTCGAACATCCCTGTTAAAAATAACTATATAAAATTTGTTTTACTAAAAAATATAAAAAAAAATAATGAAACTGACTAACATTTTTGGGGCATCCATTATTTGTTTTGGTTCATATATACGCTCAGGTGACATACATAATAAACTTGACTTTTTTTTATCAATTTCTGCTTCACTGTTGAATGAATTTAAAAAAAATATCTCAAAATTTATCTAAATAAACTCTAATGACGTAATGTTGTGCATAAAACTGCCTTGTTTTAGAATATAACGTAAGAAGTCGAAAAATTGCTTTAGATATAGAAAAATATGACGAGTAAGATTCAAACCAGTTTTTCACTTCCTTCGTCCACTACATGTGTTTTGTCCCGACCGCCGTCATTTTTGTCATTTAGGCCGCCACAAAAATCTTTTGTCATTCGAGAAATAAATAATGTAATAATAACGAACTTTTTTAAGACATCATTGACTCGTTGTTCATACTTAACCCGCTTCTGCGGCGATAATAAATCGGGAGAATCCGGCCCGTGTAATGCTTTCCGTCGAAGAGCTAGCAGTTGGTGTGTGGAACTAGAAAATTAAAAAAGTATTTATCCTTAAACATATCAAAATATTATGATGTCATAGAAAATATATTTAAAAAAAAAACCTTTTTTTATCCAATATCTGACGAATTTGCGCAATCCATTTCCCCGTGTACTCTTTCGTTAAAGAATCTTGTAATGACTTGTTTAAGTTAAATTTATCGTAAATATTATGACAATATTTACATGGTTCCACTTCATTTAATTTATCGCTTATACAACAGTCGCAAATAACTATTATTTCGTTTTTCTTAATAGTCGTGTTATTGAAAACATTAGCAAGTCGTTTAAGTATAGCTCTACACCGTTGACACGTAAAATCGCTTGATTCTGGAAAATCCATCTTTTTTTTAAATAACCTAAGTTTAAAAAAAATGTGAGAAGTCAATAACGTCACTACTGATACTCGTGTCCATGACATTAACGTTAGACAGGCTTTAGGCTCGTATCATTTAATAATTGTCTAAAAAAAAATCATTTACCAATTTTTCTCAAAAATTCGTTGGAATTTATCGTATCATCTTGCGTATTTTGAAAAATAAAACCTTGGTGTTCTAACAAATCGTAATTTTTATTATACTGAAAAAAAATCATTCATAATGAAATTGTAAAATCTCCCTCGGGGCCATCGTTTTTTTTTAATTATTTTTTGGTATCAAATTTTTGAGTTAGTTTGAGCTGTGAAAAATTTAAACTCACACATTCCGCATCTTGTATGTACAGATACACTTCAAAGCCAGTTTCTGAAATAACTTTCTTAAACTCCTGGCATTCGGTACAATTTTTGCAACAAAGACACTGTCTTCTGAAATTTTCGTTTAGGAAAAAAAGTAAGAACATACTTATAATGTTGACTTAAGGATATCGTCGATACATCCCGAGGCAAAACCTACTCGCATTGGCGTGATATTAGGGTGTTTAATAGCATTAAGATCCAAACAAATTGTTTTTATTATAACTAATGTTCGCTTGTGTTTGATGAGTGATTAATCTTACTTAATATCGAATGTATATGGATAGATGTTTATTTGAAGGTATCGCTAGAACGACTGTATGGAAATTCGTCATAGATGTAGAACATAGTCTGGAAGAACATATAAGCCACTAATTAAGTTTTTCGAAAATACCGCGCGCGGAGAGCGGGCGACAGTTTTTGTCATTTTAAGTAGGACCTAAACAACATGTAAGAATACATACCCTAGGATCATTTTAAAATAAATTTTGCCTTATATCTTCGCCGAATTTCTGGGACTATTAGTCATTATTTTGGAATTCCAAATCACTGAATAAAATTTTTCAAGCTTCCCATTTGTAATTTAATTTGACATCAAGGGACTTCAAATTACTGTCAATGACAATAGTATAGTGCGTCAAGGCGCTGCTATCGCCTGATTTTGTCACAAAATATGTAAAACTCATATTGCCTACATAGGCATAGGAAATGTCGTAAAAGGTAAAACAAAGACCTTGTGACAGCTATTGGACATTAACAGGAGGGAGCTAGTGAACTATCAAAACTTAGTTTGACTTGGTATGTATGAAATAATAATTGCTGTGAATATCTATATTAGTTATTAAGTGACTAATTAAATTAAAATTAATCTACCAAAATAATACTATAAACTATAAACTAACACTAAACCAAACTAAATAATATAAAAAATCGATCCCAAATCGCTGTGGTCGCAAGGTAGGGTTCCCAAGAGGCTGGCGGCATTTCCCCGTTGGATGGCCAGGCTCAATCTTTGCCCGAAATGCACGCCGGCCCTTGGATCCGATGAGGCGTGCGGAAATCTCCTTAAACAGGCGCCGGGCTTCCGCACCCCATGGCCCCAAGGTCTCCACGGCAAAAGGCGCAAATATATACGGATCTGCCAACGCCGCATATTTACGCCTTTTATTGATTTCATAAAAAATAAATAAAAATCCGTGTACAGTCAGCGTCATATAGATCGTAACAGACAAGATATGCAAATATATAGGTACACCAAAAGTAATCAATTATATCGGTACAACAAAAGTCCTCAAATTGATAGATACATTCACCCTGCTCAAATACATCGGTACAAACAAAGCGTCAAATATATGAGTACCTGCAAGGTGCCCATAAATATCGTAGCAGCCACAGCGTCATAAGTAACTAAGCAGTCAAGGTGTTCAAAAATATCGTAACATTTGACAAAATTGAACTCTATCTCTATATACTTGTGATACAATTTGGAATAAACTACTTCTGTTACATTCATTTGACACTTTGTATTAACATTATAGGTTGTCCGGAAAGTTCGTTCCAATTTTCGATATAAAGCTTACAATAGACTGTAGCTGAAGTGGATTCATTTTCGGATTTCCACCATTATCAAACGTCACAAAAATTTCTATTATATATTGTGAATAATTTCATTTCATTGGTTGAGATAAAAACTAATTAAAAAGACGTTTTAGGTATAGAGTCGTACCAATATAATTGAAAAACGTTTCCAAAAATTTAAGAGAACAGGGTTTCAATATTCCTTATAAAGCGGCACGAACTTACTGGGCACCCAATATTTTTCTTCTCCTGTCATAACGCTTAAATATAAAAGTTTGTCACGCCGAATATGACAGATACGTAATAACTAATATCAAATTTTGCCTTGTCACAATATATACGAGTACTAGTTTGGCGCAGTATTCTAGTATGTTTGCCGTAATATGTAAGTTTACCGGTTCGAATCTCAGGCTACTTTTTTTATCATTTTATCAATTACGGGGTTATTTTTTCATAACCAAAAAAATTTTGTTAATGTAAAATTTTGCTCGACAATTTTTTTTTATAATTTTCGCTGTCGGGTAGAAAGAAATTTAAATAAAGTTAACAACAATTAATTAGGTCAGACCATCGCGGGTGAAGTGAGTGGGCGGAGCGTGGATTGTCTTTGCGGGTTTTAAGTATGGTACGCGCAGAAACTATACGTACAGGTGTTATCTACATATGTGTGCGCGCCCACGCACACTGGAATGTTTATGGCAATCGACCAAAAAATTGGTGTAGTTTGGATATTGACATTCAGTTTTTTTTTCTTTGTTTCTTAAATATAATCAGTATCAGTAAAAGGTAACGTGATATTTTTACCGGTACAAGTTTAACAAACATGAGTAATAAACAAATTACATGCCAATAGCGCATCGCTTTATCTCCTTCATTTTTGTTTGAAATAGAAACTTTAACGGTCAAACTCATTAGTCCAAGGCAATGTCAAAAAGTACCTAATAACTACGGCGATAGAGTTGAATTATTATACATGTGCTTCGATATTAAAATTAAAAAGCTTAAATATGAAAAAAAAATAGTGGCTTGGGATTTGAACCGCCGACCTTACGTACCAACGGCGGCGAACGGTAAGGCCACGAGACCAAACTAGCATATATGAAAAGAATTTCAAAAGAAAAAATTCAAAAGAAATTCATAATTTAAAATACAATGGCGACGAGGATAAAACCGTGAGTACGGAAATAAATTGTATTTGTAAAAAAAAGGAAAGAGAAGACCAGTGTGTAAAAAAAAGTAACATTTCAGTAATTGATGGACGAAAGTATTGTTTAAATTAGTATGTCTTACCTTACAAAAAAAAATTAAAATAGAAGGTAATGGATTGGTAAAAATAGCAACAGTCTTGTCTGTTTACATATGATAGTTATTTGTAAAACGTGGACTTAAGTTGTTCCTAGCCGTGAATGTAAACTTAACCAATTGAATATCGATATAAGATCACAATATTTGACTATCAGAGATACAGATTCATTGCTGTACTCGTCCGTCTAAGTTGTTCCCTACAAAGTGCATTACGATACATGTGCAAGCGACAAATTAATTCCGGTCTATTGAAGAAGCAGGAAATGAATAATGAATAAGGAAAGAAAATATCGAACTATTACAATGATAAAATAAACATTACTTTACTACGGGGGTGTATACCCACGACATATACTAATATTGTCATGATTTCGACCAAAAACAATAATCAAATGCATGTTTAAGACTGTCTTCGACCTATGGTTGACAATTTGTGTGTAGATGGATAATAGCATCCGGCGATGTTATCTCGGTCAAGCTTATGTGTATACGTAACTTCAATAACATAGGTACAGTCACCTCCAATTAAGTGTAAGTACTTTCGCACGAACAGCGGCGGAAGAAGAAGAAGAAGAAGAAGAAGAAGAAGAAGAAGAAGAAGAAGAAGAAGAAGAAGAAGAAGAAGAAGAAGAAGAAGAAGAAGAAGAAGAAGAAGAAGAAGAAGAAGAAGTGGCTGCTACGATATTTATGGGAACCTTGCATGTACTCATATATTTGACGCTGTGTATGTACCGATGTATTGATGAGCAAGGTGAATGTATCTATTAATTTGAGGACTTTTGTTGTACCGATATAATTGATTACTTTTGGTGTACCTATATATTTGCATATCTTGTCTGTTACGATCTATATGACGCTGACTGTACACCCAATATTTTCATACCAATTAAAACTAGAAAATTCAGGCGTATTTAGCAAAAACTGGATATCTTTTCATATAATAATTATGTTATAAATACAACAAGACATTCACGCCTATAGAGAACAGGGGTGGATAGCAGACGTGTGTTACGATTGACCCAATCCTGACACACCTGTCTAACTTCATCGGAGTCCATAAAGTGTGTCATAAAATAGCATATTTGAAGGTTGAAAATAAAATCACCACTATTAAAAACTTACCATAAGTTTATTAAATAAATATTTGGTAATCTGCAACTAATAACAATAATACTAATCCTGCTTCTTTTTAAACAAGTTCATTATCTTCTGTCGTAAAGAAATAGGGCTTCCAACAGCTTTTAATACAAGTTCTTTAGTGCAAATATTATGTAGAGGTCCAAAAGCCAAAGCTACAACTGTACATGCAAGACATATTACATTATATGGCATACTGAAGTCAGGAGTTGGCAACGAAACCATTGCCCCATTAGTTCTGAATATGGCTGGATACCCTGAAAACAAAACAATGTTAAGAAACTTGAGGAATAAGGCATTAAATACAAATATTTCATAAATACTTACATGGTTTTGATGCATTTATTATTGAATCCATAGTACTTCCAGTGACAGGTAAGCTAGTGTAATTTCTAGCAGTGGGTAGATTTGCAGATATCAAAGCGGATCCAATATAAAACCCGTGATTGGCATCCGGAGGATATTCTTGCCATTTTAAGAAAACAAATTCAAAATCAATTGTTATCGTTGTTGTAGACTTTGAAGGTAAACGCATAAGGAGTTCTAGATGATAAGGCTTCTGTCGACTCCGACCAGGAGAATAATACAAAGATTTGACTAGTTTACTTTGTGCTTCTCCATTTATTCTTAGAGAGCTCAGTTGGATAGGTAACCACCACGGAGCATTTTCTAATAAAACAATATCAATTGGTGCCCAGTAGTTATTTTTTATTTCAGTAACTATACCACCAAACTCCTTGCCATAACCAAGCACATAACGGTTAAATGTTAGTGGTGGTGGTATTGTGACCAGTACTTTGTCTTTTGTACCATACTCAGCTCCAATGTTTATCATATGATTTGTTGGAATGATATTATAAATAGCAAGAGTTGTATCACTGCCTCCTCTTTGTGAAAGTACTACACTGTCTGGCAAAGGATTTAATTTAAATGGAAATGTATCATTAGAGGAGACATCAACATAGATTTTGCTAGACGATGATAATGGACATGGTCCTGGCAAACCTTGACCAAACAGTTTTCTAAATGACCAATCCAAACTGTTTATAATTTTTAAATCATATACTAATGCAACAGTTTGCTTTATTTCTAGGTTTATTTCAGAGCAGTCTTCAACTTTACATATTTTTCTAACATGTACTCCTATGGAATGGTAATTAGTGTTGTGAATCATTCTTGAGTTAAGAAGTGCTGCAAAACCATGGCTTGACTCACATGGCAACAATTTTTTCCATGGTGTCAAGTTTTCAGTGCAAACAATTTCTCTTGGCAATGTAGCATATCTGAGCTGTGATGTAACATTTTTATTAACCTTTATTGCTCCCATGGGCCACATGGCCATCTGAGGTGTTACAGTATTAAAGTTATCAATAAAGTTGAGTGAAGCACAGAAAAGTCCAGATAGAGTAGCACTCAACTTCCTCCAATGAGTATCAACATCAGTGACACTGGGCGAAAACCAAGCATAAAGTTCTGCACCAGAAGATGCATCTAAAATAGGATAGCCCCATTTGTTATGTCTCCATTGGCCTTCAGTCAATGTAAGATGCAGCTCATCAACTTGATAACGAGACATAATTTCCCCCAGAGACCGTGGCGCTAAGTGGGAGTGCTCAACTGAAAGTTTAAAAACATATTATTTATTATAGAATTTTATACAAGGTATTTAGATAAGATAAATTATTATGTTCGTACATGATGTTTCTTCATTTTGAGTAATAAATTGGAAGTAGACGTAAAGATTAGTTGGCGGTAAAGGTTTAATAAATATTTCTTCTTTAAAATCATCTGCAACGACGTAAACAAGTGTTATAGACACTAATAAAAGTATCATTCGAAATCTAATCCACATTGTCAACGATTATTCTAATCGTAAATAAAGGTATGCCTCTTTTTTAAACTTGCAGAGATTCAAATTAATGCAAGCACAGTAACAACAATTGTTCTCTGTTTATAAGTTCAAATAATTAAAAACATATTTTTCGGTTTTTTAGAAACAGAAATGTGACAATGACAAGCAAATGTCAACAAAAATTTTATATACTCTTTGATTCAGTGGCGCTAAAATGCAGATAAGAAAATAAGACAGTTTAATTATATCATTTTAAAAGTATCTATTTATCGGACTATTTGTTGTGAAAACAATTTAAAGCAGTTACTCCATAACCCAAGAACTCGAAGAAGATATTAGGTCATAGCATTTTGTTGAAATTTAAAATGAAATGCTTGTGTGGATTTTTGTTAATCTCAAAACATTACATAAGTGTTATGGGATTCTGAGTAGAAAGGAAGAAGGTATAAGTTGTGTCAATAAATGTCAATTGTCAACAAGAAATTTGTAATGAGGCGGCTTTTTTTCTTTGTATGTAATTAAAATTTGGCTAATATGTGGCTAAAAAGTAAATAAAGCCGAAACAGCTTCTTGTAAAAAATACAATCATTGATTTTCATTTCAATAAGTCGAGTCACAGAAAAAGAAGTCAAAAGGCAGTTTCGTTTCTTTTTGTTTAGTACTGAAACTGTAATAAAAACATTTTTTAAAATGGATAATGAGTTTTATGATAGATCAACAAGTTTACGCCTCCAATTAGGTTATGGAATTGGTCATGTTTTAAATGATGTATGTGCCAGTTTATGGTTCACATATTTTTTGGTATTTTTCCATTTGGTTCTTGAATTTACGTCAACTCAAGCAGGAAATTTAATGCTCATTGGACAAGTAGTTGACGCGTTAGCTACACCCTTCGTTGGCTATCATTCAGACCACACTGACAATTATTTAAGTGCAAAATATGGCAAAAGAAAGTTGTGGCATTTGTTTGGTAAGTAACATTAGTATTCAATCAATAGATGTACTATTAAAGATTATTCTGACCACCTTATTGTTGTTACAGGTACTGTTTGTGTCCTGTCATCATTTCCATTCATTTTCATGGACTGCATTGGATGTTCAATGGCTCATAAATGGGCTCAGATGTATTACTTTGCATCATTCATTTTAATTTTTCAAATTGGATGGGCGGCAGTACAGATTTCACATTTAAGTTTGATACCTGAGCTTGCAGAAGACCCTCATGTTAGAACACATCTTACGGCTATTAGGTAAGAAAATATTTTAATGCATTTCAAGTTTTGAAACAAAAATAATTTAAATATTCAGGCCATATAATGTTTTAGAGTTTAATTACTATGCATATTTATAATTGCATTTAAAATTTTATAGAAAAAACATTTTTTTGCAGATTTGGGTTTACTGTATTTTCAAATTTATTTGTCTACATTATTACATGGATTGTTTTACATATGACTGGTGAATGTGATAAGGAGGTATGAGTAATAATTTTTTTTAATATATACCAATTTGACTTTCATCACTTATTTAAATTTTGTTAAAATAGAGCTTTTAACTATACTCAATATTTCAATTTTGTGAAAATTATTGAGTGAAATTGTGGTAAATTGTACTAATATTATTCTAAAATATTTTCATTTAAGCCAAACAAAGTTCACTTTATGAAATTCAGATTTCCCATAAGAAAACAACAGCATTATGATGTTGTATTTTATTATTTATGACTTCATGGATTTATTCACAGCAAGTTGGACCAAGAGATGCATGGAAGTTCAGACATATTGTTTACATAGTACTTGGTGTGGGAACAGTAGCATCTGTTCTATTCCATACATTTGTCTCAGAAGGTAGAGGGTTAAGACAACAACAACCTTTAATTGATTACAATGATAATAACAGAGTCCATTTCAGTATATTTCGCAAGGGTATATTGTACCAGGTAAGGTATTCAAATATTTTTGTTATAAAGTAAATACCTAATGAACATTATAAATACATAATTGTTAGATTTTATTGCAATGAATGTGTCAGTGATCCATGTCCTGCCCCCACGCAAAATACGCGCTACACGTGGAGTTGCGGAAATTGTAGCCTACTTACTGTAGTGCTGCTGACTAATATTTTTTATGTATTTAAATTAGTTGTTTATTCTTGTTAAAATTATTTTTGTGATTTCTTAAAATATGTATTAACATTATCCTAATATACAGGCAAAGCCTGGATAGGCAAAAACAATTGTCATGGTTCATTGGACTCTCATTTATCCAAGTTTGACTGTAATATAATAAGTAATTTATACAATACCAGTTTTATATTTAAATTAAATGAGGTTGTATGGTGTATTTAAATTACAATTCATCTTCCGGTTGCTTAAACAGTTCAAAAAATTTCAATGAGTGAGTTGTCACTTGACTATGTTTAACCAAGTAATGATGATATGCTGTTCTTTCAGGTAGCAGGTATATACATGAGTACAAGACTCGTAGTCAACATATCTCAAGTATTTATACCATTGTACTTACACAAGACATTGGGTTTAGCAGCTAGATCATTAGCAGTGATCCCTCTTGCCATGTACTTAGGTAGTCTACTAGCCGCTGGAGCGCAGAGATTGGCTCCCAGATCATTTACCCGCAAATTGAATTATTTCCTTGGATCTGTATGTTCTCTAGCTGCGTTCATTTGGATTTATCTGGATACAGATTATGAATACAAAGTTTATTATATTTATGTTGTCGCTGTGCTTATAGGTCAGTAAACATTTATGATAACAATATTAATACACTTGTTATGTTAATCAGATGCATGTACTTATTAATAATTAATTTGTCAACAATTAAAGTTGTTAATGCATTATATTTTATAACAAAAACAATAAATGCTATAAACATTTACTTTTAAAAGCACATTAGAATATAGTGAAAAAACAACAAAAATAATGATTTATGTTTTTATGATTCATACAAATGTTTATATATTGTTTTAGGTTTTGGTGGATCTCAAATGCTTGTAACAAGTCTGTCATTGACAGCTGATCTGGTGGGCGATAGGACGGAGGCATCTGCCTTTGTATACGGTCTCATGAGTTTTACGGACAAACTGTCATGTGGAGCGGTCATTGCTATAATACAATTGTAGTAAGTTGATACCTATTACTGTTCAACGACCTCTGAACTTTTCAAACTATAATATAAACAACTTTAAACTATAAAACAAAATTAATAAGTATATTTTTTCATATAAAACAAAATTACTAAGTATATTTTTTCATATAAAGGGATCAGTAAGAGATACAACTTCATAATTTAATAGCATTTAAACAATTTCAGTGCCGATGGTGCGAGTTCTGATTACTACCGCAGTGTGCTCTCCTTAGTATGCGGGGGCGCCACTGTGCTAGGTCTTATTTGTACGCTAACGACGCCTAAGTTAACACCCGATCCTGAAGTAAATAATGGTAAGTTGGTATTATTAAAAATTTTGTATTTGTTAAAATTTTTATTCAAGCATTATTGTATTTTTCTCGGTATTTGACTTTATTCAAACATAAATATATTAATTTTAAATTTGGTTTGTTAAAAGGTTATAAACCATTAATAAAACAAAAACAGTTTTTACTCATAATGTAAAATGAAATAGGAAACATACAGGCTGATTTTCTGCAAAATCAAATATACCATAACTTTTGTTTGTTCACAGATAATAATCCATCTATCAACACAATTGAAGAAACTGGTCCACCAACGGATTTACTATAAGCTATTTGAATTATATACATATGTGCAATAAAAGCCATTTCCACTAAGATGCTAGTCTAGTGACTGCACAGTACGGCAATTGTGACTATGCCAGTGGAAATAGGTACTAGCAATGTTATAGTAAATTTCTATACTTGATGTACTTACCACATATCATGTAGGATAAAATAAGGAATTGTAATATGGAATTTGTAAGGTAAAGTTATATAATTTTGTTTCGGTGGTTCTTGTGATATTATACATTTAAATGGCTTCAAAGATATTATTAAATTAAATTTGATTATAACCTAACTTATTCTACTAGTTAAGTAGCATAATAATTAATTGGAAATATATTTATACAAGTTATCATATTAAAACTGAATCATTCCATTAATTTTAATTTTCTAGCACAAATGTTAAAAATACTGTTACTTGCCAGTTACGAACAAAACTATGAAGGTTTCTCAAGTATTGGTTTCACTATTTTTTTTAATATATGTTTTAATTAAGACAACTAGATATATCTTACAAATATGTCATGATCTCCAAGAATATAAATATTGTCTGCGCTAAAAAGACATTATCATTTTTGCATATCATGTGAAGACATAATTATGTATAATGTAACTCGTAAACATATATTTGTGCAAAGATAAAATTCATAATATTTCTAGAATAAGCTTAGTATAATAGTAAATATCTCAATATTGGTATTCCTTGACTATTAGGTTTATTATGATGGTATTGTAATTATGAAATAATACGTAAAATTAAGTCATTAAATATTCAATATCTGCATTTGTTAAAGAAATTATTCTATGCAATTCATATTTAGGCAAAAACATCATTAATATTTGTATTGAAAAAACCTGGTTTGTAGGTAAAATTTTTAATTTTAAACTATTTTGACCGCGCACATTATTATGCTAACTTTTTTAACTTAAAAAAGAGATTATCCTATTTTTATAAATATCATTTAGTTTTACATGACAATCAATAAATAGTTTTATTTTCATTGTTATTTTTGTATTCAAGTTTTTATTCATATGATTTACATGAAAAATATGTTTATTTATAATTGTATTGTAATGCAAAGCATATTATTAATAAAATATTAGAAATAAAATTTTTCTATCCTTAAGCGAAAATACATTCCCATAGTCAAATAGCTGAATTGATTATTAAATAAAACTCTACACTATTAAGATGTTATTGATCACATCTAAAAAGAAATATATAATATTTTGAGAACATGAGGAAACTAAAGACTAGATAAACAAAAATAAGAGAAACATGTTAAAGCCTGTTATATGTGTGGGCAAAACTGAGATATGTGCAGTTTCTACTGACAGTTTAAATTTTGCCCACACATACATATGTATGATTTAACTAAACAGTCTCAAAAACTTGTATATAACATAGAGCATATTATTTCCTTTTCTACAATTGTTTGTCTTCTTCAATCAACTTAATTCCTATTTATTTTTATTGGATTAAAATAAATATAGTAGGTCAAGGTCAAAATAATAATATCTTCAAATGAAGTAAATATTTTTCTTTATGTTAAATTGTAAGTTCTAGTTGTAAGAAATTAAACACATTTGTGGAAAATAAATAATTTATTTCTAATCACTTGTGTAAGAATATCACATAAGCTTGCAATGCTTTACAAAATTTGGTATGAAATTATTAAAATACTTAAGCATATTATTCAAAGCACACATGTTTAATGACTGCTTGGCATCATACAAAATATTAAAAAATTCAATTTGCCTCAGTCAAAGCGATTACAGTGAAGCGAACTTCATTCGGATCACGAGCAATAAACTGCTTACAAACTTTTGCCGCATCTTCCAACAGAGTATCAGGAGTAGTGGGGCCATGGTTGATAGGGAATGCCTTACGCCCATCCAATTCATACAGAGCGCCATCCAAATGGACAAAAGTAATAAAATGATGATTCACAGGATCCTCAGCACTGGGAGTATTAGTTTGGCCCTCCTGAGCCAGCTCCTTATGAGCATTGATGATACCCTCTGACTTCTCCAGCAGAGTGCCACGAGCGGCAGCATCCAGAGGCTTAGCTTCATCTAAGAACTTCTTTAAGTGACCATCAGTCAAGTTAATCTTATCAGTATTGTTGGCAACACTGTGCACCAGAGCAACAGTGCCACAAGCATTGCTGATGTTTTGTTTCATGTAAAAAATATTGTTAGTCACTTCTTGACCCTTGGAGAGAATTTCGTTTTCTTCCTTCTGCTTATGTTCTTCATAGGCATCAGATACGGGAAACAGCAACATGACAGAAAGAACAGGGCGTGGGACCCAAGATAGCATTTCAGGTTCTAAGCCCATCACATCTACAATATTCCACTTGCTAGGAACGCCTAACTTCTGAAGAAACTTGTTCATTACTTCAGGATTAGACTCAAGTGGGATTAAGGTTTCGGTCGCCATTTCGATCTGGAATAAAGGATTCGACTTGTTAACAGGTTACCGGTGTTTGAATTAAAAGGGAATTACTATGATAATTAAGTATATAATACACTTACAAAGAGATTTAGGCGCTTTAAAGAGTGAAGATGAGTTAGTTGGCTTGAGTTTCCAATAAGACGGCAATGGCAAGAATTACAGTCGATCAATAACGAAAGTGGAAACTACCGGCGATCGAAAGTGAAATGAATTTCTCAAAACTTGAAGAGTAATGACACTAGCATTAGTGTTGCTGCATATTTGAAGATTATTTATGGGCAACTTTTTCGTAACTTCGGAAATTTTACGTTTAAAAAAGATACTAATATTTCCATAGTTTTTTTTAACTAGTTACTGTTTTAATTTAATGAGACAAAATCATAATTTCATGGAATTTTACTCTCCATTTCTTCAACGCGAAACGCTTCGACAAAATGAAAAAATGACAGTGACATTTGATATGACCTTAGCGAATCTATGGTGTGTGGCGTACGTCCTCCGCATTCCGTTGTAATATGTAATCGAGTAGTTTTTACAATGGGCATTATTAAATACTGTAAATTATTATTCTGTAATGTAAATAAGTAACAAAACCTTGAAATGGCTGTTTGTAGCTTAAGGACTGTGTTGTTGATCGTGTGCATACTAGAATTGGTAAGTGTGTTTTCTTTGATGTAGCAACTGGTTTATGTTAAGCAAAAAGTTTGTTTTTCGTCTTAGGTATATAATTATAACTAAGCATCTTATTCCATTTGTGTACATACATACAAAACTTATAATTTCTTAAAATGTTCTCGAATTTACTTAAAGCCTCCAAAATTATTTGTCTGATTTGACCTATTTACCGAATTTTAAGTGATTTTTGCTTATTTGCCTTATTTTTTTTTCAGATTGTTACTGTTCAACGTCAAGTGTTTGATTTCTTGGGTTATATGTGGTTGCCCATAATAGCAAACTTTGTTAATATTCTGCTCATAATATTTGGATCATTTGGTGCAGTGCAATATATAACAAGATATCTACTAGCTGTAAGTATTTATCCTTTGTTATAATAACAACAAAGCGTTAGTATATTAAATTGATATTTGATGATGAATAAATAACATTTGTGGGATAAAAAGTGGTGTAAATGCCCCAGAAGAGAGAACTGGTCTTGTTTTATCTCTCATCAATGTTTTATGACTTGTAAATTTCTCTAGTTAAGGTATCGCAATTTACGCTATGATTTTGTCACATAAAATGAAGCAATAACAGAGGTTTAGATAGCAAACTTAACAGTTCCAAATAACAAAGTACACCTTTGGACTTAATGATTCCCAGGATCCACTTGGGTGTTAATTGGTGGCAGTCCCAAAGAACAGTAATCTACCAAAAATTACAAATCATTATTAATGGAAGAATGATAGATTTAATTAAGTACAATCAGATACATTATTATGTATATACAACTCAAAAAATTTGACAACAATCAAATTTGAATTTGAATCAAGGTTGAATCGAAGATTTTTTTTGGAGCTGTATAAATGTATACATATTAATGCAGCTGACTGTATAAATTCAACACATTATGTTTTTTGAATTGTTTTATCATTTGAATATTTCAGTATGCAATATGGAGTTTCATGTGGCTGACATGGAATGTGTTCCTTATGTGTTACTACCTCAATCTAGGAAGTCTAAACAGAGTAAGTAAATACTAAATTAAAATACATTTAAGACCTTTTGTTTTATGAAATGGAAAACATATAGGTTCTTTTTCTAAATTGATTTTTAAGTACACTTTGTACACTTGCACATTTGTTGTAATGTACACACCAATAAGCGACACATTTTAATTTATATAATTTTCACAGAATGTAATGGTATCTTATATGTTTCAGGAAAGTGGTTTATTATCCCTTGGAACAGGCAGTGTTAGCTGGTGGGAGGGTAATGGTTGGGGATGTCAGCCAGTGTGGGGGGAAGTGGAAGGCCCTGGCACTTGGCGACCTGAGCATGTTGATGGGTGTTTTCTCCAATGGCACCTTGTGGAACTCGCACAGTCTGCTGTTGCTGCACTTCTTACTATTACAGCTTTGCCAATAACTATACTTCTCACATATAGGTCTTTCAAAAAACACAAAACAGTATCAGGTAGGTAATATGAATAATCCACTTATTTTTATTTTGTCATATGACAGTGTTAATAAGATAAAATTTATTTATTTGCAGATAAAAGTACATTACCCCGACGACCTGCATATACAATAGAACTAAGCCCCACCGAAACAAATATAAGTGAAAGCTCTTCGAAACCAATGACTCCAAGGCGTGTCAAGCGAAGATCTGGCTCGAGAGGCACGGGTTCCTCGGTGCGAAGGTCACGACGGTCTTACCGGAATGCGGGCTACTTGTCTTCCAATGCGTCGCTGCCTCGTGATGCTAGACCGTCCCGCCCCACGTCGGCGCATTCGTCGTACTCGAACTTCCACGCGGCGCGGCCAGCGTCGTATCACCCAACGGAAAAAAACACATTGACACGCTCACAAGATGTTTACGATCCTCCCCCGCCCACAGAATCAGTGCCAATTATGACCAATAGATTTAACTCGACGAGGAGAACTGCGGGCAACATCGGCCACGACGTAGTCGGTCCATACAACGAACCCAGAAGTTACGAACCACAACGAAACTATGAAACGAATGCACCTTCGTATGATAATATAGGTCGGGGTTACGAAGGCGCCGTCCCGACTTATGATTCTCGAATGGATACAGTAAGTCCTATTTCGGAATCTGCATCTTACGGGGGCAATGATTACGGTGCGATGGGGTACCCCGTGGAGGGGGGCTGGGAGGCTCCGCCCCCGCCAGCGCCGCCGTACAGCGCGCGCGCCACACCGCAGGCGCCCGGCCCACCCGCCTACCAACCGACCAACGACACCTACAATCCAGTGCCTTAAATCTTCACTATCTGTGCCTTATTCCAGTGATGCTCAGTTTTTATTACAATTTCTAGTAATTTAAGTGACTAATTGTTAATTATTTAATTTTAGATTCAATAATTCATACGTATTTTCTCGAATTTACAGGAATTCTATGTTGTCTCTTTCAACTTTATTATAGTTAAGACTAGTTGATAAGTACTTACGAATCTCTTGAGTCATTGTTGATGTATGAAATACATTCCTTTTTTTTATATTGTTAATTTAAGAGTTAGCTTTAACGATGTTGTGTTGTGGCACAAGTTTGCAGTATAAATGCAATTTTGTATAATGTATTTTTTTAAATAACTTTAAGATATAAATTCTAAATTTAAATGATACTTAATTTTTGTAGGACAATCAGCAAATTATTTTATATAAAGAATTAACTTTTGTAGCACAATTTTGTAATAAGTTATTATTGTGTTCCAACATTCCATTTAAGAAATCCACCGAATTAACCAATTGTCCGTCCACTATGATAAAATTATATAAATTTCCATCTAAGATAACTAATTTTAGTTTCATCGAAATATTTACAAATTAGGATTAAAAATAAATTAAGACAAAATAATTTTACATTTCGTATAGTAAATTTATTTTTAAGTAAAACTGCCCAACATTTATATAAGTTGATTTAAACTTTGAAACATAGAAATTTCACAAAGATGTTTCAATTCAATTACTTATAAAGTAATTTTTATGGGTCTGGATGTTTCCTCGTTTATATATTTTATATATATTTTTTTTAAACTTACTTTTTGACTATGTAAAAGATAATTGTTAAAAATGAATTTGTATTTTTGCCACATTACTTGCGAGCTTACTACACACTTCACTGTATTTTTAATAGTTATTAAGAAATGAGCTTTATTAGTATAAGATTATTAATAATTACTTTTAGGCAAACTTTTGGGTAAATTATACCAAATATACGAACGACACAGAACTTCTATTTTTTGTTTTAATTTATATCCTATATATGAAATTACAGAAATGTTGGTCTAAATAAAAAAACATAATTCGAGCATTGAATTGTATTTACAAAATATAGTATTTACTATAGATTCTAATACAACAATAATATATTCTTACATTAACAACCATACAGAGTCATGAACACTCTTCGCACAACTCGCTACGAAACATTTATAAATTAAAATATAAACAATATATTTTTTTACCACTGTTGGTACTTTGAATATAGACAAAAAATCAGTTACAACTTTTTTATTTTGGATGTCGACTAGAAAAAAATTAACTTCATTTTACACTTATAAATAAATTGTGAACTAAAAAATATTATAAAAAGGTAAAAGGATACGCAAAATGGTAACATTAAAAAGACAGATCTAATATCTGAGATATTGTTATATTTTTTTAAAATGGCTTATTGGCCTGCCTCCCAGATTAGTGCAATTGAGAATATTTCGCGGTACATTTCTCACCGAGTTTTTATATTCAGTTTTTTAACAGAAGGGGGCAAACGAGCAGCGTGTACACCGAGGTGATTAATGACGCCCATGAACATGTAACACCTAAGTAACTGTAGATGCGTTGCCTGCCTTTGAAAAAGAGATAAGTTTCTTGAAGTACTAAGTCGTCCTGGTAATAATAACTATGGTCGTTTGATGTTAGTCTAAAGCATTAGATGGGTGGTAGCTGGCGGCGCTCGAGTGCGGTGAGGTCAGGATGCCACACGTCCACAATGAGCACGAGACGAGCGCCGGTGCCATTGTGCCATACCTCGTGCTCGAAGCTGTCGTCGAACAACAACACCTTACCCAAATGCCACTGTCTGCGATTGAAAAAAAAAGAAAAAAATATTCATGTTACTACAGTTGGTCACATCATTGCTTAAACATTTTTTAGTTGAGATCAATATGTTTCTATTTGTTCTAAATTTTGCAAAATATCTATTACACAATTAGCTTTCAACACCAGTAATTGATATTATCAAAAATTTGCCAAACTGTAGTTATAATTGGGGTATTATGGGTAAATTGTAAAAGGTATAAAACACACCTAGTTTCCCGATCCACTCGTATGTAAGTATTTTTGGTATTGCTTAATCCTAAATGCATTCGCAACCTACAGTTGGTAGGTCCGACATGTGGCCGGACGTGTGTCCCGGGCGCCATCAAACTGAACTTGATCTGCCCCCTCCTGCAGTTGGCGGCGGCCGGCTCCGTTCTCACAATAGAGCAAGTGACCGGCGCACGTTTGCAACGCCCAGGGATCTCTTGGCCTCTCACGAATAAGTCTAACTGAGACCACTCTCCTCTTTCTTTTAGCCCCTCCCTCTCTTTCTCATACAGAGCGCGCGCCTCTTCTCCTTCTTTTAATATCTCTTTCCACGATCGTTCCAATGCATTGGCTAATTTGATGTATGGAGTCTCCTCGACTTGCCACCAAGGTCGACTTTTTAATCTGTCCACGTTGTACAAGGAACGTTGTGCAGGCGACAAGAAGTGTCCGTGCGCTGCGCCGCGTCTGTGTACTTCATCTGCCTCTGCGAAGCGACCGAGAAGTAACAGGGCATCGCCTAAGTGATAGTAGAAGCGTGGCTCGCACGCGGGCCCGGTGTCATTTTCTAAAGCTTTTCGGAACATCGTAACAGATTCTTCAAGTTCTTTATAGTGTGTTTTTAAAACAAATCCATAATGAGCTAGAGCTACGCGATCGTCTGGCCACATTTTCAGAGTATCTTTTAATACTTCAGCAGCTAAATCAGGTCTGAAATAATGAAAGTATCCAAATTTTTACGTCATTATCACTTTGTTATGCACTTTATAATCGTCGCTGTAATCCATGTTTTTCGTTTATAGGTTATAAAATAGTAAACCTAAAAAAATTGTCGCACACATTACCAATTTTAATAAATATATAGTTGGAAAGTTTACATACTTGTTGGCCATTAGGAAGGTTACGGTCAAATTGTTTCTATAGGATACTTCGTTGGGAAACCGTTTGATTAGTATCCTGTAGACGGGTTCAGCACTCAAGTAAGTTCCTAAAAAAAATTGTTGGTGTGACTATTTGAATCCGTAGGCGTATAATTGACAAAAGCATAATGTCACCGATTTGGATATTACAAAATAGCAAGCGAAAAATGACGCAATTTACTAAGAGTAAATATTATTATTGCATACTGGTTACAATTATACTTGGCTCTTACCTCTAAATTGTATCCTGCTTAAAGTTTTCGTAGCTAATTGGGTCAGCAAGTTGTCTGAGAGTTGTGTGGAAGATTTGAAGAGTTGCATGTAGGCAAGTATTGCGCGCGAGAGTAGGTCGTTGTTGCGCCGGTACTCCGCCTCCTCGTCGAGAGCGAGAGCGACAAGGTACCGCGCGCGCAAACTGCCCGCCAACTCCGGACGCGACACCCGCGCACGCGCAGACTCGAACTCCCGCTCCAGTTAGTAACACACACTCACAACATTCACACGCAATGCATTCACTATACTTATTCTATCGCCGTACGTAAGCGTAACAATATAACAAAAAAAAACTTCTTTAAAGAATATAGGATATTTAATTTATTGACTTTTATTTTGTACCAAATAATTATAGAGTCTAGATATTTTAAATTATTACGCTAACTACGGTCACACTATTTATAAAGTCATTCGTTATCCGAATGAATGAAAATTAAATGAAATAAGATATCGTTGGTGCCGTGTGGAGGTCGTATCGTGCGGGGTGCTGGCAAGACACGGTCCTTCACGACACCTACGTGATAAGGGGTGGGGAAAAAATGGCACAACGAGCAAGGGAATTGGCAGGGGAAATATGCAAAGAAAACTATTTGTTAATCCAGCCAGTCCTGGAATTGAGTATTTACTTATATAAAATAGTTGATATGTTGTGCTCAGTAAATCTTAATTTGGAATTTTCATTAGTTATATGTTTGTATTCTTACTTATTTTGATTAGTAATATAAAGCTGAAGGGGACAATGTTATTGTAAAATGTCTGCTTGTTGCGGTCAATATTCGGGCATGCATTTCAAACGTGATTTGAATATATAATAGATGTTCATTCACGTGAATTAAATTTGATTTGAATTTTTTAATTTACCGTGGGTTTTTGAGACCAAAATCTCTGTATAAAAGTTATCGTCATCTCTGTCATTATCTTTTACCAAATAGAGATAACAATATGTCTTAAACGGAGATTTTGTTATCAGAAATCCATGGTTAGTAACTTAACCACCCAATACGGCAGTTAGATGTCAAATCACGGTCAAATTTATTTTTAAAAGTGGTTAAAACAACTTCAAACTATTATATATAAAGTAAGAATACAAATTATTTTCCCAATTTCTAGTTTTTAAAAGCTTTACGTAGTTGTTATGAACGACTTTATTTATATCGTATCATTTAATACGAGTATTACTGTGTTTTAATACATTTATGTATCCACTTTGGCTTTAATTTCTTTGATTACGAAAATTACTCACAAAAATTATTTTGAGGGAGAATAAATCTATATCAAAATACTTGATAAAATTTCCTGTGTGTGATTGTCTATAATTAAGAACTTGTGTAACTGACTGTGGATTTCTGAGACCAAAATCTCAATTTAAAATCTATCGTTATCTCTGTTTCGTCGAAGATAATGGTAGAAGATGAAGATTTTAGTCTCAGAAACCAAAGGTAATTGGTGTTAAAAATATAAATACCTGGCGGATTTCATCTTCAGCGATGTCTAGCTGCTTACGCCAATACGAGCTGCTAGGTTCGCCCGGCCATTCGTTACCAATGCTGTTACCACCATCCTCTGAAAATTAAAAATATGTTTTTCTTGTAATCACTTATTTAGATTTTTGAGTACAATTTTTTTTATCATATAGCAAAGAATAAAGTCGAGAGTAAAGTGTCTTGGCTAAATTACAGTAATTACACGAGATCTTTTGGCTATGTTCTAATTTCAAAACTAGCTTTTGAAAAGATTCTCGTGTAGAAGGTGAGACTATGTTTTATATTTGTGCTAAATTTCAAAAAGATATTTTCAGCCGTTAGGGAGTTATTGAGTTAATTTCAATCAAAAATATCCCACAAGTTTTGTCCACATTCCCGGGATCATAGTATCTATAAGTTGTTTTATACGGTGTTCTACATCTATCCAACTAAAGTTTCGCTTTTATAATATACAATAAGTAATATGAGAAATAATTAAGATAGTTTGTCAGAAAACAAAGTTCGGAAAAAAGTTAATACTAAAATTGTTCACGCAACAAAAAAAGACAGTATTAAAAAAAAACTATACACGTTCCTGAAATAAATGTAACAAAAATTAATCACATACAACAACCCATCCGACGAAAATAGTTACATCTCTTAAGATCTTATATATAAAAGTCTCGTGTCACAATTAACGTTCCAATACTCCTCCGAAACGGCTTGACCGATCCTCATGAAATTTTGTGAGCATATTGAGTAGGTCTGAGAAACGGCCAACATCTATTCTTAATCCCGCGCGGACGGAGTCGCAGGCGACAGCTAATAACTTATAAAAGAAAACTGTTTGCGTCGTATGGGATTCAAAAATTTGTTAGACATATGATTAGGTAGCAATGCATTAGTAATGAAGCGGTCACACACAAGCATGCTGTGTTTACTGGGTCTTTGTCCGGGCCGCTCGGGTTCCGGAAGCCGGCCGTATTTAGCTTCGAGACGACTCAATAACTCAGCATCGTCGACATCAGAAATTTCTTCTTCGTCTTCTTCCTCATCTTCTATTTCTTCTTCGATTTGTTCGTCATCGATTATTTCAACGTCATCCGGAACTTCTTCGGCTTCTGAATCTTCGGCCTCCTTCTCTGGGACGTTAACCTCGTTCGAATGTTCTTTCTCCTCGACGATTTCTTCCTCATCTTTGATTTCCTCTTCCTCATCGCTATACAATTCTTTATTTATATTTTTTGTTTCTTGTTCTAAGATAGTTTCCTGTATTCAGCAAATAAATGTAAATATTTTTTTAACCGTGTTACCAATAAAATTCGTCAGTTTACTTACCTCTTTAACAACCTTATCTTCTTGATTTTCATCGTCACTTTCTTGCTCACGTATAGGAATTGATTGAACTGCTTTCTTAATTGAATCGAGGCTTTCGACAATCTCTTGAACTGGTTCGCTTGTCTCTGGGGTCAATAAAGGTGCTGTTTCTCTAGGAAGGAGGGTCATACGTCTGTCGACCAAAGTCGGAGTTTCCTCTCTGATTTCAATATCCTCACTTTCTGGATCTGTTTTGGGAATTAATCGTATAACTTGTTTTGCTTGTTTTATGTTTTGTGAATAGATTTAATATTGACAAATTCAATTCAAATTAATTTAAGACAATCTCATTTTACTATTTTTATTTATTGTTACTTCTACAGGGATTGATACGAGTTTCTTATTACGAAAATGATTGTAATAGTATGGGGGTAGTTATTATTTAGTATTACGGTAAATTGACATGGCAACATTTGTATATTTTAAATATACGCACCGCCAGGCGTTGCGGAGCGTCGTATGACAGCGTGTGTTGCCAACAGCAGAGCACCACCAACCACCAACTTCAGCCACACTGCAACACACGCGATACGCACTTAGACCATCGAACTAAATAATAACACCACCATACAAGTGTTCGTATTTCATAACGCTATTGAATATTTTGCAAACGTTTTAATTGATCATGTATCTGTAGTGCCAACATAAACATATAACTTTCAAAAATATATCGTCAGCCATGTCATTATCTATGACATAACAGAGATGACAATTTGTTTTAAACTATTTTGATTTCACAAACCCACGATTAGACAGTTTAGAATTCAACAAATCTTAAACTTCTTCTTCTACAATTTTATTGCAATATCTCGACGACATTTTTTTAAACACATTTCCACACTTATTTAAAACACTTGACAAAAACTGAAGTTCCTCTGTATCATGGTAAAATACATCGCAAAATTGAGATAACAAAAGATAATTTATAGCATTAATATTAATAATAATCAAGAGTTTCTGAATACATACAAAAATTTAAAAACAATAATAAAATACAAGATATAATTTTTTTATATTATATTTATTTTATTTTTACGTTAGTCGTTAGTAAGAAGCAAGCGTAATGAGTTAGTTTAAAATTAGAAAAATTAGAAACAGGCAAGCAATCAATTTTAAATTACACTACAGATTAAAAATTAAAAATCAAGTCAAAAATTGATTATTTTTTTACTTACTCTGTGACGAAGATTCTTCTTTTTCGAGTCGAATTTGTTCCTGTCGTTTTTCATACTCCTCTTCTTCAGCTAATGTATCAGTCGGTTTTTCTGAAGACGGTTCATCTTCCAACTATCATGTTAAAATTTAAAAATGAAAATAAAACTCAAATGAAAGTAAAGACGTAAAAAATAATAATTGTAAAGGTGAAAGATCAATAATGAAAAAAGCTACAAAATAAAAAAAAATAATATATTTATACTGAGTTTCAATTTCTGGTTTAAATTATATGAGAATCATTAAAAACCCAAAACATGTAATACTAACTTCCACAAAGGGTTTTCCTGATGGTAGAGGGATTTGTTCCACAATTGGTGGCTCGATGATGTCTTCGTCAATATCAGATGTGTCTTCTTCATCATTTGTTTCTTCTTTCTCTTCATCATCTGAAAATTGACAAAATGAACTATATTCTATTTAAAAAAACAACACAGTTACAGCCAGATATGTATCATATAAATCCTTTTTAACATTCATGTGATAGAGAGATTTTCAAAACTAAATAACTTATCTGGATTAAAATAAATTGCTTGCTTTCTTACCATCTTCTTTATTATTTTCAATAATCTCTTCTTCAAACTTTTCAGATGAAATTGCCTGTTCTTCATCATCTACAACTTCTCTTTCTATTCTCTCTACTTCTTCTTCGTCGTCGTCATTTTCAGCTTCATTCTCTTCATAATCCTATAAACGCATGAAGTACACAGGTCAATGAGGGTTTCTGAGACCAAAATCTCCATTTAAAACATATCAATATCGCTGTTTTGTTAAACCAACGACAGGAATGACGATATGTTTTATAAAGATTTCGGTCGCAGAAACCAACGGTCAGTAATCTTTAAGAAAATTCCAAATAGAACTTAGTACATAATATTAAAGTTGTGCCAAAAGTCCAGTTCAACAGACACATGCAGTTTAAATATTGTTATGTCTTCTTATAATTAGATCCATGCTTTAATACTACAAATAGATGCCACATCTGTTCAGTCTAAACAAATAGTACATCTATGATAGGTAATTTAAACACAAATTGTTAAAATTTTAAAACTTAACAAGTATCACTTTAATATGTTACAGATTTTAACTAATCATAAGCATAAAAAAAATATTTTAAGTATTTTCATTTTTCATTCGACATTTATAGTAAGTTAGTAGTTATCTTTGCAGCCTTTAATTTTTCCTCACAAATCAGAACACTTTTTTAGTTTGTGTCCTTTTTATATTTCGTATATATATGTTAACTATATACTGTTTTGAGTTAAAGTATTATTACTTCTCAATAATATATTAGTGGTTTTGAATAGCTGACACACATTTTACAGGTTATGTTATTTTGCACCTCATTTTCGTTGTCATCATTTTCATAATTCTCTATATCATTTTGGTCTTCATTTGTATCAATATTATCATCATCATCATCTTGAAGTTCATTGCTCTGATTATCATTTTGTTCATTAAAATCTTTTAAATCTTCTTTAGAATCATCATCCTGTTCATTGGAATCATTATTTATTAAATCTTCAATGTTATTCATATCATTATCTTCATCATCATCTTCATTTTCGTCATCATCATCGTCGTCGTCGGCACCGGCTTGTTCTTCATATGTATATTTATTGTATTCCATCCTTTCATTGTCCTGTTTAAAGATTTTGAAGATATAAGAATAAAAATAAATAATACTGGGGTAAGCCAATTTCTGTTAAGAATGCTCAAACAATAAAATATTTATTAAAATAAGCAATGCAAGAAAATGTTAATATTCATAAAATTTTCTATTTTTTTTAACTACATTTTTCACACCTCATCATAATCATCCTCTTCTATATTCTTCTCATCGCTATCATTCTCATCATCCTTTTCTTCATAATGAATATCATCTTTATCATCTTGATCTATATCATTGTCATTATCCTCAGCATCGTCGTCATCATCATCCTCATCGTCATCAAGACCGTCGTCATCATTATCATCCTCCTCATTTTCATCATTGAATTCTTCTTCACTATGATCATCTTCATCATGTTCTGTCTCAATCTCATGTTGATTATCATCATCACCATCATCATGAACATCTTCATAACTCTAATTTTTACATTAACATGGATTTCATTATTAAAAAAGATTTTAAAATAATTTAGTTCAAAATGAAACAATAAAAATGAATAAACAAAATATTGAACTGTATAAAATGACTTACATGGTGTTTTAGGTCAAGTGTATGTTCATCATGATGGTCATCATCAGGTGTATCTTCAATCCAACCATCCAACACACCAGAGTATCGAGATTCAACTGCATTTGCTTCCACTAGCAAAGTAAAGAAGGTCAACTGATAATTTGATTTTACTAAAAGCTTAAATATACTGTGTCTGCTTAAAATGGGGGCAGGCATGTTCCTATAGTTAGGAGCATCAAGGCCATCTTAAACATATTGGGCACTCAGGTGCAAAAATTAAGTTGCTTAAAATAATCCCTCTAGAAGTAGAAGTAGCGCTATTAGCTGGTGACCCCAAAGGTCTGACGCACGGCCCATCTTGTACAACCGGGTTAAGCCAGAGGCTTTGATACATAAAGAAGCTTGTATTGACAATACTAAAAACTTAAATCTTATTTAATACTTACATTCAGTTAGCCCTCTATTTTCGAGGATTATGAGTACAATCAATGTAACTAAAACAGACAGTAGAGAAAAGAAGATTATTTTTGCACACCAGTGTCCTCCTGTGCCATGTTCGTGATGAGAATGCATTAACACATCGCCTTCGCCGAATACTGCCGCTGTCCCACGCGGCGGTTCCTCGACACCCAGGTCATCTTTAAAAATTAAACAAATTTAAAATTATTAAAACAACCAAGACTACACAATAGTGTCGAATATGACTTTTTCTTACCTTTCTTTCTTCTCTTATCCTTCCGTTTTCTTGGCTGCACATCACCCGACATGATTAGTTTTGTTCTGGCGCTATTTAAGCGACAGATGTGAGCCCCTTATTGTTTCATAACCCTGTGTAAACAAAGAATATAAAGTGAACTTGCGCAACATAAGGCGCTGGATGCGTATTAATTTACTGCGAAATTTTCAAAATTAAATTGTTAGTGTGGCGCGCATTGGAAATTTAAAATAACCTACCTAACAAAGTATCACTGCTGGTTTCACAAAATTTATTTTAGATTTTAACCCTAAAAATAACCGGCGAAGACAGCTGAGAAGGGAGATAGATATACAAAAAGTATAAAGGAACGTTATATGTCACACGATACGCAAGAAATTCCATATAGTCTTAGCATGGCCTTATAAATTATCTTTTATTGTTTAAATTCTTGTATTACTTACTGATAAAACGCATTTTTCAAATTTTTATATAGAATCTTACGGAGACGATTATTTTTTTCGTTTTAAAGAGATAAAAGTAAAATAAGTTACTTTTCATGCAATTACATTGCATGCTTTGTAAATTTCCAGTCCGGAGCTGTCAAATGTCACTGTCAAAATTAATGACAATCAGCTGGTATAATTATAATGGAACTTTTATTATTAAAAAGGATTTTTAAATAAAAAATGAGTGAAGTAATAGTCCTTTGCAATGGATACTCAACTATTAGTGAAGCAGTCGATGAAATGACAGCAAATTGTACTTGTACATTAATTAAAGGCGTTCAAAATATAATTGTAGATACCATGACAGCTTGGGATGCAGATAAGATAACAACAGGTGTTTACACGATATTTCCTTACAAAGTTTAATATTAAAAAAGCATTTTTTGAGCAACATTGTGATTGGAATCTTGCTAGATCACAATTTTATGATACATGAAGTAAATTACCAACATAACCTATTTTTAGGTAATGAATAATTTTTCGATTTTCAGCTCTAAAGTCACAGGACCTTATACCTGATGACATAAATTTCGTTGTCTCAACTCATGGCCATTCTGATCATATAGGAAATAATAATCTTTTTCTCAAAGCAAAACACATAGTCGGCTTCAGTATATCTTATGAAGACAAATACTATATATTTCCTTTTGATAAAGGTATGTTTTGCAAATAATGTATGTATGTATGTATGTATGTATGTAAAGGAAAACTTGTAAAATTAATAAAACTTATTACAGGAGAGGAATATGTCATAAATGACACAGTGAAGGTAATTCCAACACCAGGCCATACACTGTCAGATGTTACAGTACTTGTGAAATCTAACAAAAATGAACTAATAGCCATTGCAGGTACAACTACAAGCTTATTTATCCAACACTAGCTGTCGCCCGCGACTCTGTCCACGCGGAATTAAAAAAAAAACAATTAGTAGCCTATGTGTTCTTCCAGACTATATTCTATATTTATGCCAAATTTCAGCGAGATCCATGCAGTTGTTCTGGAGATACCTTCAATCATCCATACATGTAAACATTCGCATTTGTATTTTTAGTAAGTGTATCTGATTTTCAACTTTATAGGATTTTTTGATAATCATACAGTCTTTTAGGTGATTTATTTGAAAAATATGAAGATATAAATGATCCTAATATATGGTTAGAAGCAGGGAGTGAGGATAAAGTTCAACAGGCGAGAAACAGATCTAAAATAGCTGATTTAGCTAACTGGATAATACCTGGACATGGTCCAAAGTTTCAAGTTACTGAAGAATCAAGACAAACACTTAGAAAACAGATTAATTAAAGAATATTATTATATTTAATCTATTAATTTTCCTTCCATAATGCAGTAATAAAAGGATTAGTTTAATAAAATAAAAAATATTCATAATTCAAATTTTATTACACATATACATAATTCATTAAACTAATAAAAATTCGGTGATACATGCCAGGTCTTCGAAAAGTTACATTTCCTTAAACGCATCAAATCAAATAAGCACAAAGCTTTCTACATACAACCAACCACACCGGTCAGTACAACAAAAGTGTGTTTTACATAAACCTACTAATTTAATGATTTAAAAAATTACACTAACATTAAAATCGTACTTGAATTGTACATTATCAAGATAAGTTCAAAAAGCTTCACAAATCACAAAAAAAAATACCATTTTAAAATATTTACATTGGCATTACAATTGGATACATGTCTTTTGAAACGATAAATATTTTACAACCTTTTTACCAGTAACAAAATTTATAATTCCCATTTTATGGACCGATGTATTAAGATTTAAAAATTAAAATTAGGTTTTTTTAAAGACAATATATTTAAAACATACTGATAAAGACTAGAAAATAACAAAAGTAGTTGAAATAGGTAAGCTACATAAGTGCTTGCTAAGAAAAATATGTGATTATTTCACATATACTACGACCTTTGAATCCCTTAATTTTGGGTCATATATGCGATAGTATACGTCACTTATAGGACTTACACAATATAATGTATATTTTATACACAATGCATATCACAATCAGCATGAGAACAAAGGATATCGAAGTTAATTACTATAAAATTGTCACAAAAGCTTAAACATAGCAATTTCAATTTCAACACAATAACATATAACCCGGTGCGATAACTGAGGAATATTTTTACTAGGGTTGTAATGGTTACCTACTGTGGATTGGCTCCGCGGAGGCGGGAATTTAAAAAAAATAAAATGAAAATAAAAAAAAGTATTTATTTCACAGATTAAAAAAAATCATATCTGTCACCTTGAGTTGGTAAATCAACGTAAAAATCTCCGTTACAACTCGGCAAAAAAAAAACAAACACGCAGCAGTACGTTCTTTCCCGCCAAGGTGCGGTTACAACATTAGTTTTTACAGTGTATATAAGTTTACTAAATTAAATAAACAAATGAGATTATTTTTATATGTAGAAATAATAACAATTGGGTTATGGTCATGTTTTTGGCGCGTGTACAGGATCCGCAGTAGGCGTCAGTTTTATGTTATTGTGCATACATTTTAAACTCAATAAATTTAATTGCAACATTTTAAAATTTTATACTCTACAAAAAAGAATATTCGTTTCGTACTTTTCATAAATTAAACTACCTAGATTTTTTGCTCTTACAACTTCGATCAACGTCTTATAACTGCAAATATTATTTTATGGATGGCATACATAATGGATGTAATAAATAAAATTATAACTAAATTGTCTAGTTTATGTTTAGGAAAATACATGTTCAAACATTCTCTGGGTAGTGGTATCGAGGATATCGGACACATCTCACGTAAAATCATCATATTTATATATTACTGCCGGTAATACCTTCAACAGAGATCCGAGTGTCCACAAGTCCGGGCCATAATTGCTGCGTGCATTTTAAAAATAAATAATTTTTCCTATTAAAACAATGTTGCTATTTAACCTTTTTTAAATCACAGCCGTGGGATATATCGCTAAAAAGCTTAGACATTCCCGAATCCATTCCGTACATTATAAGATAGCTGCAACCAAAAGAAAAGGATCGCACGTTTGAATTTAAATAAAACTTAATTTTTAAAATGTCGACTTAGATAACAAGGTACAAGAGTTAAAAATGACTGTTATACAAAAAAAAAAGTACATATTTTATAACAAGCCAGAATAAATGCAGAAAGATTATTTTTCATTATTTAATAAACCAGAAAAGAAAACAATAAAAAAGTCGATAGTAGACGGAGACAAAAAATAAAACCTGCAAGCTTACAATGAGATAGTTTTAAATGATCATGTTGACAATGGTGTGTAGTATACCTGAGGGTCGATGCTGGCGGGCACCGGCTGCGGCTCGTCGATGCACAGGTCCGAGTCAGAGTCAGTTCTATGCAGGTTATTCTCCTAAAAACAATATTAATAATAAGTAAATACTAATTATATTATTTTTTTAACTGTGCTAGAGGCCGGCATGATAACATTTGTTGCACGAATTGGTTGGTTCACCCGGTGCAATACCATGACCACACATAAGACAGGCTTCAAGAGGCTCCAATTCCGCGTACAGTGTGATGAGTGTGCGTGCTGGAGACCTAATTTATTCCTCTTTCCCTTCCAAGATTTTTCCTTATAAGAAAAGGATGGGAACAGGAAGTGCATTGTACAGAGGAGGGGATACACGAGAATGGAAAATATTAATATTGCTTTGTGCCATTCATTCACTCCGCTCACGGAACTCTAAAAGATTAGAAAGTTAACTCACTCCTTGCGTGTACTGGCGCGTTGTAGTCAACACTCGGGCGATGGGCCTGAAGAACGCCGGCAGCGTGTCTGTGAGCGGAGGCCGCGCGTGCGTCAACAGCGGCTTAAGCAGCTTGGAGTCCACAGCGCCCCACAGCCGCGCCAGCCGAGCCTTCTCCCCGCCCTCGCTGCGCGGCGTCTCCTGTAAAGTATACTAAAGATAAAACAAGCAATTCTTATTTAGAACACAGCTAGCTTTTAATGTAATGATTTGGATGAAATTTTGTATTGAAATATTTTAAAATTACATTATTAATCCAACACCAAAGTGATGTACTTGTACGTTACCGCAGTAGATGTATCGTGTAATTGGACGATATGAAATATTTTGTATGATCAGAAGGATAAGAATTATCTTGGTTCCGTTGAGATTCGAACCATTAACACTGGTGTATCTTGTTTACTTTTAAACAAGTAAATCGGAATAAAAATCTCAGAAAAATCTTTTACGGTTTATTAAGTTCGCAGTTGCGTTGTCTATTCTTATAACAAACCATTGAAGAAACATAAACGTCTAAGATGTGCAAATGTGTTAAATAATGTTGACGATTTACAATCAACAACTGTATTATTACAAAGACAAGAGCATGTGTTAGTATTTCAAGGAAATCTAGCTTCAAATGCAATTACTGTTACGTTATTAATTTATTAGGAGAGAAGCATAAACAACGACAAACTGGAAATAAAATTAAAATAAAAACAAGTAACTGGAACAGAACATATACGTTTTAAAAGGGGTGGAGACTTCAGAGATTTTAGTAGAATTCATTATAACTGCAAATAAACATTTCGCAAAGATATGTATAATTTTTTTTAAGAAAATAAAAACAACGTTTAATAATTGTTGATTGTGAATCGTTCACTCGCGTCATGTTGCGATTTCCAAATTAAAAAACGAACGATGAAAAAAGAAAGAACGTTTTACATACTGCGAGTCTATTTAGTTGCCAAGGCATTATCACTCCACTGTCTCCTTTGCCCCACTTAACTACCATGCTGCCATTCTAGATGTTTAAATCAAAGTAAAAATAAAATAAAACATGCAAAAATTAGTAGAAAAAGATGATACAATGAGACAAATATTATCACTGATAAATAAATGTTAACGTAAATATTCTCCATAGCTTTTTTGTCCAATTGTATCATTTGTAAGGTTGCGATTAAAAAGAAAAAAATGAGGCTTCTAAAAAAATGAAAGGGTTAATAAGTTAGTTGATAGTTGTTAAACCATTCCATTTGCGTGCATGCAATGTGTTTAGTCTTACTATTGCCCTGTCGCAACTGGTCGATTGCGAAGCGTCCAAATTGCGGAGACCAAACCCTAAGTCAGCCGGCTAGACAACAAATACATTACATATAAGCGCATAGATTGAATACGGCACGCGGGTAAATCATAGGTCATATGTTTAGGTCTTGTGGTAATTTTTTCGTTTTGAAAATGATTCGTGAACAATGCGGTGAAGGCAGAACATTTCCAGTTAACCTTGTATGAAAAAGGCTTATAAGAATAAAAAAAAACTTTATATAATCAAGAGGTTAACTGTCAATGCTTTAAATAATGATTAACATACAAGTTACAATGTGATAACCTGTCTGCAAGAATTTAAAACGATTTTTTTTGCAATAGCGCTATAATTTGACATTTGACTGACAGCTGTCAAAATTACATTTTTTAATTGTGAAAAAATAAACAAAAGACGTTTGAATTTACGGACAGGTTTAACATAGTAACTATGAAAGCATGTAAATATATGACATAAAAAGCTTTCTGCGTGAGTGAATATACATACCGGTCCGCCAGTGTCCGTGGCCTGGTACAGCTGCCACAATAATCTCTTATTAATTACATGCGCTGTACAGCCCAGATAGAACTTTTCAATTTTCTGATATTACGTAAAGAAAGCGAACTAAACTGCTCATTAGTTATAACTGTTGTGAATTTATGGTTATTACAAAGATCTAGTCAAAAATCTAAAATGTTTGAGATACTATGTTATCTATGAAATTTCAAAGTGCTAAGTCTAATTTTCACTAAGTAACTCTAAAGCTAAATACACTATATTTCAAAATTAATTAATTTCTGAATTTCCTATTATACAAACAATGAATAAAATGTTAAGACTATTTTAAACCTTCCTAATAGAATGAATAAGTGATATAATTGATTACAATACAAATGTTAATGAACAAAAATTTTAAAATGGTATAAATTGAACACGATATATACATAATTGTTACCACTATTGCGAATTATTTACTAAATTATGTAAAGCTTTAAAAAGCCCCAAATATATGTAATAAGCTTATGTAATGATAAAATTACAAGAACTATGTAGAAGCATACAAGAAAAAAGCAAACAGTAAAGAGAAACGGAACAAAATTCTTTAAAAGAATGTGCAAATATATTTAATTTCATATAAATTGGGATATTATAAGAGCTGAACACATTGTATATGTGAAAATGAAATTAGCAATTTAATTATTATCGAAACCTTATTGAGTGGAATTTATTCGGACAAATAAGGTGAAATTTATTACATTACTATCATTTAAAATTTGAATAAGTAATGTAGGAGAGGCTATGCAAAAATTTAAAAGAGTGTGCAACTCTTATATATATACCCACATATTTGAACTTTTTACACAGATTTTTCACTTTAAATTTTAGTAAAAATGTGATTTATTTTTACATTTTAATGTTATTACAAAAATATTACATCTAATAATCGATTTAATTTAAAACTTACATCACTATTCGTGTCCCACTGAAATATGACAAAAGAAGGAATGACAACAAAATCTATATTATTTAGCAAGTTATAAATTATCTACAATTTACATTTTATTTTAAATCGTTAAGACAAAATTTGATCGAGTAAAAATATCTACAGCTACCAGATAAAAAGTTCAAAGTTTATTTATAACTATATTTAAATACATATAACTTAAACCTTTGCCTATTTAACTATATTAAAGGTAAATAAACAATTAAGTTTAGTTTATAAAGTATTGAATATTTTAATTAAATTTATAAAATATACTGTAATTGTTTCTTTACACTTTGTATATCCCAGCCCATAAATATTGGTTAAAATTGCTAAATTTAAATTAAATTCCAGCGAACAAATTATAACATTTCAAAGTAATCGGTATGAAAACACAAGTGAGAAATTGTTATAATAACTTACGCTTCTTACATCACGGTAGGGTAGTGCCTCATTTTCATCGTTTTGTCCTTGCCTGGAAATAGACTTTTTATTTATTTTATATAAATAATCCACTAAAGACTGCGCAATGAGGAAAGAACGAGCAGTGAATGAGTAAGAGAAAGAGATAGAGAGAGAGAGAGAGAGAGGGAGGGAGGGAGAGAAAGATAGGTAGAGGTAAGGAAAATCACCAAGAACTTATACGGAGTAAAAGTTTATTACAATAGGAGGTGATAAATTGATAGCGGCCACACCAGTGGAAATCGTACACTTAAGGCTTCGTGGAATTAAGTTTTAAGAGTACTTTCCACTAAATGATGACTCACCCGGTGGGTATCCGGAGGTATGCGAGCGCGTGTGTGGCGGCGCCGCCCTGCAGCACCACGGTGGCGATCACGATGAGGGAGGTGGTGGTCAGCATGGCCTGTCGAGCCTCTGATACCGTGTTACGTATTGCCAGGGCGAAAGACATCGCACCACGCAGACCTATAAATATATTAGTGTTTATCATTGCTTTTGTTTTATGCATCTATTTTTAATCAAGTATAGTCCAATCTCCATATTCGCGGGGCTATAACAAAATAGCTACCAAATATTATAACGTGTATACGAATTTATAATATAATTTTTTTTGTCCGAAAATAAGAAAAAGTGGTTTATTATATCAAATGGTATCAAATTGTGTGTATTTACCGGAGAAAAACAGCATATGTTGGAAGTTCATAGGTATGGGCGGCTTGCGGCCGAGGTTCAACAGAAACGATAGCGGGTAGATGTTGACTGCTCGTCCCAGAGTCGATGTTATCTGTTTGTCATCTAATTAAGGATATATTTAGTACTTAAAGACATGATTACTGTACTATTAATTGACTAGCTGTTGCCTGCGATACCGTCCGTGAGAAATTAAAAAAAAAATAGTAACCTGCAAGATTAGTCCAGCCGTTCAGGAGATACCTTCAAAGATCCATCCATCCAAACATTCGCATTTATAACATTAGTAAGAAGATTTGTCAATTGACAAAGTATTTCTACGTACCAATAATTAACAAATAGGAAAAACAAATGTATGTTTTTGCATTTATCGTTTTCTTGCATGCAAAAAACGCATCCAACTTTTTTGCTATTCAAAAATTATAACGGAATATTAGAATAAAAAATATTAGTATTAAAAGGATACAAATCCAGCGATGATAAACCAAGGATCGAAGTGGTGTTTAGGGAATGTGAACATGGAGACGCCGATGTAAGTAAAGATGAAGTTCTCCGCGAGGAAGTTGAGCAGCTCGAAGAGTTGCTTGGTGCGGTTGCGCGAGTCCGCAGACAGATTGTTGTATGTATAGTGCGCCTGACATATGCCACAGAATAACACCGCCACTACACCTGTGGAAGGAAGATGGCTGTAACGCTATTGCTATCTCTGTTCTTTTCAAATAGTGTGAACGGGACGGCAATAATGATTAACATAGTGGAGATTCACTGTTTGCACAAAGAAACATGCATTTGGTAGTTGTCACAAATAGAGCATTTCTTAGTTATATTAAGAATGTGGGGGTCAATGACCTTGATGTCTCGAAAACTGCAAGAAAAGTACAGATTTCTGCATAAAATTATTTTTAAAAATATAATTATTTAAAGTTTGAGATTTTTTACATTAGTAGATTTTATTTTAAATATTAATTTTAATAACCCTAAAGTTATTAAATTTGGGAGTTATGACGTCACAACATGGTTATCCGATGTACATTTTCATGAGAAATGTACTATTACGACATACCAGTGAGCTCGCAGACTTCAGCGATGAGGAAGGCGGCGTAAGACATGAGCACGAAGAGCGCCGACTCCAGCAGCGGCCAGTCCCGTACGTGAGTGAACTTTGTCATGTGCAAGGAAGTTAAGGAAAATATACATTTACTTAGCAAAATATACTTATGTACGCAACATATTTCAAACCATGCGATAAGTGACATCAGTTGAGAGAGAAAGAGAGGGAAGAAGATAGGGAGAGAGTAGCCTTTACTCTTTCCTTTGCATGAGTTTGTTTGCCAAAATGATGCAATTTTGTTTTATAATAGTACAAAAATTTTTCTGATAAGAATCGTTTTAAGAACGTAATTGTAAAGTTCTGCAAGTATTTATGAAATAATTTGTTATTTAAAAGGATATCAATGCGGTAAAGCAGCCCATCAGTGCACCGATGAGGAGAGACAGACTGAATATTCCAATAAAGTCTCCGATTGCACCGAGAAAGGCAGTGATCTCGAAGCCGCCGTCATTTGAGTATCTCTTCTCGTAATTCTGGATGGCTCTAGAAGTATAAAAACTTACATCTTAGCTAGGAACTAATGAAATTAATACATATATCTTTTCATAAACCCTTGTCAAATACTTAAGCAACTAGCTGTCGCCTCCGGCTCCGTCCTAGCAGAATTAAAAAAAACCTTAATTCATAGTATTTGTATCTTTCCAGATTATGTTCTACATCTATGTCAAATTTCAGTGAGATCCATGCAGCCGTTCTGGAGTTACCTTTAAACAAACATCCGTATTTCCATACATCCAAACATTCGCATTTATATTCTCTAGTTTTCCGCTTTTACACGTAATCAAAACCAGTTTTTAAAGTATAATACTTAGTTGTGAAAAGTAGAAGGTTTTTGTTTTATTTAAATCAAACATTATTTTTAAACCTTGAATGTAGGTCTCGTGTTATTAAAGTTGCTTTGTCGTCAACAATAAAAAAATATCGCTATCATAATAATAATGTAAATTGTTCACATGCATATTTCAAAGAGAGTTTACATTACAGAAATAGTTGTATTGAAACATATTGCTATCTTTTTTTTGTCAAAGAAAACGAGAGAGATAACATAATGTTTTCATACAAGTGGAAACATACAGTAATAAATGAGTTTGTGTCATTATATTTGTTCTGGAAATTATAGGTATTATAATAAGTTACGTTAGTATTATTTATCGTATGAGGATAATGACTGTAATTAAAAATATATATGTTGTTTTGACTAGTACTTTGAATCACGAGAACATATTTACTACAATGTAGCTATAAATATTAATAAAACTAGTGTCTGTATGTTATATAAAAAAAAACATTTCGTACACATGATGTATACGCGTAGCTGATAACGAAAAACCAGACAAAAAAAAACAAAAATATTTTTTTTTCTGTCTATTATATCTGTCCACAAAGCTAATCCAGGAAATCTTCGGAACGGCTGGACTGATTTTGACTGGACTTTGACTTTGAACTGCGCTGACGAAGTCGCGGACAACCGATAGAAGCAAATAACGTAGCTTACCCGCTTAGTACTAGGGCCACTGCGTCGTTAAGAACACTCTCTCCGAATATCATTGCATATAAATTAACGTCAACCTGAAAAGCAACAAAATTGGTTATCACAAGTTTTGTTTTTAAATGTTTTAAAAACCATAAAAACACCTAACAGTAAACTATTTCTGTTACATCTATTCTCATACAAATCTAAGTATATAAGTAATTAATAAGTATATAATATACCTTAAGTTGTGAGAATATAGCGAGCACAGTGAGTGGGTCGGTGGGTGATATCAATGCTCCGAAGTACAAAGTATCCAGGAAGGTGAAGCTTGCCGCTAATGACTTGGGCATGAGTTGCACACAACCGTACATTAGAGAGCCAATAACGAGCGCCGAGAGTGCTGTTCCCACCATAGCGAACGTTAATATCGCACCCAGGTTGCGGAAGAAATATTTCTACAAAATACCATTACATGTAATAAACAATGATATACAATCGCAATCTGTTGGAAGTTTTCTGCTATTTTATATCTTTTTTTATATCATAAGGTGGCAAAAGAGCTAGCAGCCACCAGATTTCGCTGAAACAGCGAAGCGACCGTTGCCCATAGACATCTGCGATTGCTGATTCGTTGCCTACCTTTAATCGATGGAGGAGGGATGCACAGAAAGAAAATATTTTCCCTTCTTTTGCATCCCCTCACCGCTCAATTTTTCCGCAAATTAACTATTTTATTAATTTACTTTTTTTTCTAACTTAGTTGACATTCGATTAGTTAAGTGATTAATTAAATGTCTTTCTGGAAATCTAGATATAAAAACCTATTTTGCGATCTCTATATAACAATAAATCTTAAAATCATAATCAAATGATAATAAAAAAAAGTTTTCTAGTGAATTATTAATGACTAATTGGATTTTTGATTAAAGATAACTTTTTTTATAAATAAGAGCATTAACCACTTGATAACAACATTGTTTACATGAATTTTCATTATATGATATCAAACAGTCAAGATAACTTATAGATAAATTAATTCAAATAACATATATTTATATTATATGAATAAAATAAATTTAAAGATTATCAACATATTATCAAGGGAAATTAAATATTTAGTTAAACTAATAGAAAAGTTAATGTTGTACTTAAACCTTTGAAGGGCTAATAGCCTAATGGTTAAGGATATGGAATTCCGAGGTGGTCGAGAGTTTTAAATCCGCCATTTGATTATTTTCGTAAACGATATCCTAGCACAAGCCTAGAGCTTAGTTGAAATTGTACAAAAAATACTAGTAAATTCATAAAATTTGATAATGTTTAAAAAAAGAAAAAAATCCATTCCATTTTTGGATTGGTTACACATAACACAAATGTTACATATCTTTGTTAAAAGTTGAGTAATATTTGTAGTAGTCAATGTCAGTAGTAGGATTTAGTGATTTTGTATACAAATGTGTGTCATTGACATTTCATTAGCTTAAATGTGTAAACATCAAATCACATGTTGTCTGATGCATTATTTGTAAGTCAAAAGATTATAATAACAATTATTTTAATACATAAATAAACATAAGACTGAGTCATTACAGTATAAATTTTTTTTAAATGTTGTAAAGAATCTAGCAATCTAGAAATTCTTTTCAACCATCTGTAAATTCGAAAATATAAAATCAATAAAAGAACATATGTTTTAGAATAAATTTTCCTATCAAAAATGTATATTGAGTAGCATTTGAATGTTTAACTTACCCTTTTTAGGCAGTATCCAGCATGAAATATAATAGGAGGTAGAATTATATTGAAAAATATCTCCGGATCAAATGTTGCTTTCAAATCAATTTCATTTTGTGCCACATTCACTATCTCACCTCTGAAGCTGTATGCATAAGTTTTATTTGGCACAGTAATACCTGAAATATAGCATGTATTGTTATATGATCTAAAAATCCATAAATGTTACACTGATTAAAAAAAAAAAAAATTTTCTTAAAATTAATATAATGAGTAATATTTTGAAATGAATTATTTATCTTTTGGTAGGCTTCAAGCAATCTATGTATATTATTTCAACATCTAAAAGATATTACCTTCTGCAGATGTTTCCATCTTGTTAGGAAAATGAAAACGTAGCATATCTGGAGGTACAGACAAATTGTAGGTGGAATCTGCAGCGGGCATGGCATCAATGTAGGTAACTTGATTTGTGCTGGCACCATAGCGAATGATTGCACCAACAATGAGACCTAAAAGATAATATGATATGCAAAATAAAAGATTACATATAATATACATACTTCTTTATTTTGATATTTTAACTTACCATATATAACAGCGAGACCAGTTTCGTGGAGCCAGCTCACACGGCGATGTTTAAATACCCAAATAGTGAGTACAGTAAGTGTTAGAAGACAAGTATAAATAAGTAGGTTTAAACTATCTATACGATGTAATAATGTGGCCTTGGCATCGAGAGCTATATCTTCTCCTGAGGCGTAACATCCTACTATAAGGCAGATATAAAGACTTATTCCAAGAAGAAAATTCATTTTCATTACTTAAAAAATATTTAAAAATCACATCACAAAAAATCGATCTTGTATAACATAAAGTAGTTGTAGGGGTATATTACAAGCTGAAAGTAGCGAAATTTTTGTAGCACAAATTGCGATGATATTTTATACTCAAAGGACCAGTTTTAAAGGTTTTTAATTTAAATCTCATAAGGAAAATACTGGAAACGATTGAAATTTTGTCCTGTGACAAATAAACAATGACAATTTGACATTGTCATCTCCACTGTCAAGTTGATCTATTTTAATTGAACGCAACCATAACATTTTACTTCTTTTTGGATAAAAAAACTATGATAGGTATACTATTTTACAGCAGTAATAAATAAAGTTAGAATTTAAAATGTACAAAACACTAAAGTGAAAAATGTAGAGAACAAAGTCGGTTACAAGAAAAGTGTTACATCACTTTAATATTACAAAAATGTTACAAGGTTTTAAAATGTGTCGAGAAATCGAGAGCCTAGACCAGGCAGACCTTACTTAGTTTTCCAATTATTTTTCAAGTTCGTAAAATTATACTCTCAAGGGGGTAAAATAACAATATGGTGTAGGGGATGAAACGTTGTATGAGAATATGTAAGGTTTAAGTTAAGTTAATGTTTTGTTTTTTTATGTTCTGTTGTAATGGTTTATAGTTTTAAGTAAAGTAATCAGCCTTAAGAATTAAAAATTAGAATTAAAATGGTACCCAAGACAACTTTTCACTCCGACGAAGTCGCGGGCCGAGGTGGTTGTTTAATAATTTAATCAAATGATTACAAGTTTGGTCAATTCGATTACCTCGTAGACTCAACGTTTTTACTTTGACTGCCCCTCTTGATTACGAATGTGATTACGTTATATATTAATATCTATTTACGTTTTAATGATTATAGCGGCCAAATTTTGAATTGCATTACGAATTTATTTGTGAAATCATGATTGTATTTATCGATTCTGGTTGATTTATATTTATATCAATGTAAACATTACGCAACTTTGATTAAATATAATTTTTATTGCAATCATTTTGTAATTCAAATTAGCTTTTATTTGTATCGATTAAAAATATTTTAAACATGTTACAAACATGCTTAATTAACGATATTTTATTGTCAAATTAATGATGTTGTTGTGTGATAATAAAACGAAAAACAATTAAAACCGTACTACACATTTCACTGAAATTGGGTCTTATGTCTTATGTACTAATATCGACTATACATATTAATAAAATTGGAGTGCCTGTGTGTCTTATCGAAAAGAAAATTATAATTCGCGACCATTTGCTTTTCCTTTGTTTCGGATGGTCTCCCTAATTTTGAAGCGACTTTTACTGGAAAGTGGCTTAGAAATGCGGGAGTAACTTTTGTTTTTTTTTATTCTGCGCTGATGAGATCGTGGGCAACCGCTAGTAAATAATACTATTTAAATGAAAAAAAGTCTATCCCATTGTATTCGCAGAATTTTCTGGCTGGTTTTTCTCTGTACTTTTGATATGCGTTTCTTTAAAAAAAAACACAAGCTGGAATAATTTAATCTGGGGATTCCCTTTATGGTACTGTCACTGCCCACGTGTACTAAGTAGTTTTAATAATACATGAAAATATGTATTATCCTTTATCTTAAGCAAACTTAGTTACAAATACCGTTTATCAAGTGAAGGGCGGTAGTTTTGTCAACGGTGAAGGTTGTTTATAAACCAATTAAAAATTGTGCGAAAGATAAAACAAGCATTGGTACATGCTTTTTACTTTATTTTTGAGTAATCAGTAAATGCGCTTGTGAATAGCTTAAGTAATATGAATGCTGTTTATAACGATTACAATTAACTTGACTCGATTTTAACATGCTATTTACACGCTTACATAAGAAAAGTGGCATGTATTCCTATGCATAGCGTCCTGAATCTAGGATTAAGCGATCTAAAAAAGACTGGTACTCATACCTTCTCGAAGTTCAGAACTTGATTATATTAACGGTACGATGTTTGTATATGATTAAGAGTGAGAATGGATACCTACCGGTTTATTAACTTTGCACGGTTAAGGTAAAATTATAGCAAAACACTCATCAGTAGTAAACCAAAACACATGAAAATTACAGACAAGACTCTCTAAACTTACCTCACCAATCGATATAATTACTTTTAGTTTCAACTGTACTAAATTAATCATGCTAATATTATAAAGGCGAAAGTTTGGATGGACGTTTGTTACAACGTACTTTCAAAACGACTTAATGAACTATGAAATTTAATTCAGTTTAGAACATAGTCTGGAAGAACACATAAACTACTAAGTTTTTTTTTTAGTTCAGCACGGACAAAGCCGCGAGCAGCTGGTATAGAAAGCTAATATAGTAATAACGCTGACAATACTTGTATATGTTATCAAGAACAGTTGGTATTTAAGTTTCATGTTAATCCTAACGTATTTGTATACTTCAAAGATCAGGAAATGTTGTACACAATCAATCATGTTACGGTCTACGCAGCATTGAGTGCAATGACCTTTGTCTATAGAATTATAAATTATAAAGCTAATTTCGTCATAAACTATAAGTACAAAAAAGTACCTTGAGTCATAAGTACTTATTTGTACTTGTAACCATTTTAGAATGAAATAGACGTGCAGTAGACATGCCAATGCAACTTATAACCAAGTTCGATCAAGTAGCTCGTACTATGTTATTACAATACTCAAGGTTAATTGGGTCAGAAGCTTAACCGGAACTTATGTCGTAGGTAACTTGTAACTAAGAAATAAAAACTACAAATAAGATTTTTGTTAACCGCTTTAAACTAATTAACTTTGAATAAGAAGATACAATATAATTTGAATGCTTAAAGTGTTGTTTTCACATACCTATTGTATTTTTTTTATTTATGTGCTTTTTTTGTCATGTTATTTTATTTATGTGCTTTTTTCTCACGTTTTTTGATTTGTGTGCTTTTTTTCTCACGTTATTTTATTTATGTGCTTTTTTCTCACGTTTTTTGATTTGTGTGCTTTTTTTCTCACGTGTTTTTATTTATGTGCTTTTTTTCTCACGTTTTTTTATTCAAATTACGCAATTTTTTGTTACGGGGCTGAGTTACGATTTCCTATAATATAGCGTAAAATGTGCGGTGTATCTATGCTTTACAATATTTTGTCTTTCGTATGGAACAAGTAATAAAGTTGACAGTTAAAAAGCCTGATTAGAATTTTGCGCGGTGCAACTGAACCGCGTTATGGCGAATTGATTAACCTTCGCAAGGACTACCACTTTTCTTGCGACTGTTTTACTTTGTTATTATATTAAGTACACATAAATATAGCGCAAGAAATTTGTCTAGACCGGTAAAAGAGGCGCTGCTCTCACGGTTATTTCTCGCAGAAAATATATGAAATTTAGATATTCATAGAAAATTACATAAAAGAAAAAAAACTTGATAAGACAGTCACAGCACAACAAGGATCTTGTCACGCTTTTTGACATTGACAAGGGGGCGCTAGTGAGCTATCTTAATTTACTTTGACTTTTGCCCACCGGGTCAAATAACTTTGTAGGTCTATAGTTGAGATATTGATCCCTAAATTATGAATTCAGTGGGTGTGGCGTCGTAAGGACGTATTATAAAAACTCAAAGTCGAGGAGAAATTTATTATACTAACTGTCACACACAGACTCTTCATTGGACTACGAGAGACCCTCAGTTTAAGTTTAGTAAGATAATTTAATAAAGGGTTGCTTGAATAATCAATAAACTACTCTGCGTGGGACAGACGAGTAAACACGTTTCAATTGTTTTTTTAATTTTCTGGCCTAGTTAGGAGACCTTTAAGCCAAGTTCTATTTTCGAGGGTTTTAATTCTTGTAAAGGGCACAAAGACAAACTTCAATATCGCGGAATGTAAGTATTATAGAGTTGTGACGGCTTTAAATGTTTTTCTGCAAAAATATAGCAAGATGTTTACAAATATTATGTACATCGTAAGACGCATTTCATTATGTAAAGAGATCAAAAAGTGATAACAAGACGAAATCCAATTGGACTATTGCATCAACTTAAAGCAATTATTAAATAGTATCTAGAACTCCAGTATTGACCTTTACTAATTTGTTTTATTTGTAATTATCTTCACCGCGTAATATTATTAACCACAAAGGGATTCAAAGTTTATTAGAATTACTAGCTAACTCCTGCGACTCCTTCCGCGCAGAATTAAAAACCTTAATTATGTGTTCTTCCAGACTATGATCTACAGCTATGTCAAATATCGTCGAGATCCATTGAGTCGCTTTGGAGATATTTTCTTATAAATATCCATCCATATAAACGTTCGCATTTTTAAGTAAGATATAATCTCATCGGTTAATGTCGAATTGGTATAACTATTGTGAAAAATTGTTTAATATAACTATGTAAATAAAAACTCTCGCTAAAACGGCTAATAATTTTGTTGAGAATTCGCCAATATAAATAAACAATCGAAGACCACCGGACCTAGGACACTTTCCTGAGAAATCGTAATCTGTGTATTATAATCCATCTCTTTTGTAATTAGTAAGAATGCAAACAAAACTTCTTACTTGATTTCTTAAGAATTAAAAAAAAGTTAGAATTGATTTTGCTTTCAACTTGTCTTCGTTGTTATTCGCATTGATAATAGATATCGCTTAATTATTAACATTTTAACCGACTTCAAAAAGGAGGAGGATCTAATTCGTCTGTATGTCTTTCTTTGCAGTTATCTTGAGGTATTTTTCTAGATTTACACTTTCAATCTCACGTTTAGAAGACATTCTTGTCACAGATTCAAACTGTATTTTGTTCATTAAATAAATTAAAAGTTCAAAGTTTATAATCTTGATTAAACTCCGAACTTCATTCGTGTCATTATCATTTTAATGGTATTATTAATAGTAAATAAAGGTAAGAATTGATGGAGAATAAATTAAATGGTTGGTATTTTATAATTACCGCAGAACTCAAGGTTTGTTAGTACACGGTCATGTTCTTTGCGACGATAACTGGCAACTATTTGATTGATTATTGTGTGTTATGGTATAATCTTGATTGTGTTGTAATATCAGGTTGTATTTATATCGCCATGATCACAATAAACTTACTAGTTTAGATTTACAATCCACAAAAAAAACATTTTTGCTGGTTGTTTTCAGACACCTAAACAAAGTATATTATAAAAAATAACACGTTAAGGATAAGAAAAATAATA